TTAGAATCTTCCTTACTATATCCAACTTTAGGAGCTGTGCTTTAGTAGAATCAGAAAGATTCCTGGAATAACTTATTTTTCCACTAAAATTGGCAAACAACTGTTCCCTTGGTCTATATACCTGTGAGGCCAACAGGCTGCCTGCTGGCCTCCAGCTTAAGAAGACAGTATTAGCAGGACCAATTCTTAGTGGTTTTATTATATTTTTAAGTTCCCTGAGAATAAAATAATTCATAAAAATATGTAACCCTGGCCAGGCTCAGTGACTCATGCCTGTAATCCCAACACCTTGGGAGGCTGAGGTGGGAGGATCACTTGAGCCCAGGTGTTTGAGATCAGCCTGGGCAACATAGCCAGACCCCATCTCTACAAAAAATTTAAAAAATTATCCAGGTGTAGTGGCGCGCACCTGTGGTCTTGGCTACTTGAGGGGGCTGAGGTGGGCGGATCACTTGATCCTGGGAGGTCAAGGCTGCAGTGAGGCAGGATTGTACCACTGCTGTCCAGCCTGGGTGACAGAGCAAGATGCTATCTCAAAGAAAGAAAAATTATATATGTATAAGTGTATATATATACACACACACATATGCTTACCTGTGTGTATATAGATATATAAACACACATACATGTACTTACGTATATGTGTGTGTATAGACACAAACAGACATATAAGCCTGTGATTTGCCTTTCAGACGTTGAACTTTCTAACAGGTTTTGGGATTCCAGAAGCCCCTGCATCATTGCTTCTGAGTGGAACATAGACGAAAAGGATAGCATGGGCTCCTCATCCCCGAGTGACCTGATTATCTCTCACTTGCTATTGAATCCCACTCACCCTGCAGTTATTTTCATTCTGTTCCAAGGGGACGGTAATAGATTTATATAGAGTTCTTGTTTTGAATGTGTGCATACTATTGGATAAAAGGGGCAGCTTCTACTAATGATACACTTCTCTAAGTGAATGAGTTACAGAGCAAAATATACGTGGGAATTGGAGTCATATAACCACTTCCTACAGCTCCACCCCTCTGATACTGCTGCTTACATGCTATACTGATGTAGGGGAGAAAAAATACTTTTCCTCTATTTGCCCTGTAAATTAGACTGGCCAAAGACAGATTAACAAGAGAAAAGCAACAGAATTTTATTAGCATATGCGTCTTGCTTACACATGGGAGCACCCAGAGATGAATAACCCAAACTGGTGATTATAACTTGGGCATATGACTGGGCATGGTGGCTCACACCTGTAATCCCAGCACTTTGGGAGGCTGAGGCAGGAGGATCCCTTGAGCCCAGTAGTTCAAGATCAGCCTGGGCAACAAAGTGAGGCTCCATCTCTACAAAACATTAGCCAGGTGTGGTGGCATGCGCCTGTAGTTCTAGCTACTCAGGAGAATGAGGAGAATGAGGCTTGAGCCTGGGAGGTTGAGGCTGCAGTGAGCCATGATCATGCCAGTGCCTGGGCAACAAAGTGAGACCTGTGTTTAAAAAAAAAAAAAAAAAGGAAAAGGAAAAGGGGTTTTGAGCTTCTGGATGGGGAGGCAGGTTATGGTAAGGTGACCAGGAAAAGTATGGTGAACAAGAGTTGTCTAGAGAGGTTTGTTACACAGGTTTCTGTCACTTCTCCACCTTGAAGAGTTGTTAACAGTACTCCCCTTCTTGGTGCTAGAGAGGGAGACACCTCTACAAATGGAAATGTCCTTTACAAAAGGAAAATTGATGCCCTGATTTTAGAGCTTTTCCTGAGTCTGCTGGTTCTCAATGGCCTCTAGCTTAAAATAATCCATATTCTGGCTCCCTTCAGTCAGCTTGCAGACAAGACGTATGATGGACATTGATGACACTGTATCATTTCCTTTTTTCTCTCAAAGTGCTATTCAGATTTCATGTTTCTACTTTTAGGAGTACCAGAAACTTTCTGTGTTTCCCCCTTACACTGTCAAAGTAGGAATTACAAGTAGTTGCCACAAGGCAGAGGAAAGTCTTCTCTTGGTGATGGATAAGTCCATGTCATCTCCAAAATGTAATTTCACGTGAAAGGTCACTGTCAACCATAAAGTTACCAGTATTGACGTTTAAGTCACTGAACTCTTTAGAGCTTGTGTGAATTAAAATAATATCTGCCATACATAGATAGTAAAATATCTGCGATAGTTGAAAGAATTGTTTCCAATCAAAAATAACAATAGTTGCAAAATGCCCTATATTCTATATTAAAGCAGAAATGTGTTTTTACCTTATATTGAACTCTTACTTGCCTCTATTATCACATACAGTATTTTTTTCAAAAAATTGTTCCTTTGGAGGAGTGATTGAACGTATTTGATTTTTTTAAACAGCTGTATTAAGAAGTAACTCACATACAGTATAGTTCGCCATTTTAAAGTGTTCAATTCAGTAGCGTTAATATATTCAGAGTTGTACTGCCATCACTGCAATCTCATTTTAAAACATTTTCATCATACCCAAAAGAAACCTTGTACCCAAATCATTCCCTTTTACTCCCACCCACAGCCCTAGTCAACCACTACATCCATCTCTATAGATTTGCCTATTCTAGGTATTTCATATAAATGGAATCATACAGTGTATGGCTGTGTTAGCTTCCTATTGCTACTGTAACAGATTACCACAAACTGAGTAGCTTAAAACAATAGAAATTTATTTCTCACAATTCTGCAGGCCAGTCTGAAATCAAGGGGTCAGCAGGGTTTGTTCCCTCTTAGGGGGTCAGAGGGAGAATCTATCCCGTGCCTCTCCCCTTGTTTCTGTAGGGCCAGCAATCCTCAGCGTTCCCTGGCTTATAGATGCATCACTCCAGTCTCTGCCTGCATCTTCACGTGACGGTCTCCCCTGGGTGTCTTTATATGACCTTCTTATAAGGACATCACTCATTAGATTAGGGCCTTCCCTAATCCAGTATGATCTCATCTTAACTGATTACATCTGCAAGGATCCTTTTTCCAAATAGGGTCACATTCTGAGGGTCTGCCGGACATGAATACTGTTTAACCCAGGACAATGGCCTTTTGTGTTTGGCTTCTTTCACGTAAAATAATTTGCCAAGGTTCATCCGTGTTGTAGTTGTTGTAATACATGTATCTGAACTTAATTCTCTTTTATGGTCAAATAATATTCCATGGTGTGTGTATACCAGATTTTATTCATCACTTCAGCATTCGATGGGCATGGGGTCGTTTCCACATTTTGACTTTTGTGGATAAAGCTGCTTTGAATATTCATGTACAAGTTTTTGTGTAGACTTATGTTTTCATTTCTCTCGGGTTAAATTTGTTTAACCTTTAAATCTGTCAAATATGATACACTTTTTTGTATAACTGTATGGGGTACAAGTGCAATTTTGTTACATGCACAGATTGTGCAGTGGTCAAGTCAAGGTTTTTAAGGTATCCATCACCTGAATAACATATATTGTGCTCATTAAGTATTAATTAAGCTTCTTGGCTGGGCACAGTGGCTCACACCTGTAATCTTGGCACTTTGGGACTCCACGGTCACCTGAGATCAGGAGTTCAAGACCAGCCTGGGCAACATTGTGAAACTCCATCTTTACTAAAAATACAAAAATCAGCCAGATGCGGTGGCAGTTGCCTGTAATCCCAGCTACTCGGGAGGCTGAGGCAGGAGAATCGCTTGAACCCGGGAGGTGTAGGTTGCATTGAGCCAAAATCATGCCTCTGAACTCTAGCCTGGGTGAGAGAGTGAGACTCCGTCTCAAAAAAAAAAAAAAATTAAGCTTCTTGTCATCCTCTCCCCTTCCACTCCCTCACCCTTCCAAGTCCCCATTGTCCATTCCAGTCTCTGTGACCATGAGTACACATTATTTAGCTTCCACTTATGAGTAAGAACATGCAGTATTTGTTTTTCTGTGTCTGACTTGTTTCTTTTAATTTTAATTTTAATTTTTTTGACTTGTTTCACTTAAGAAGATGTACATATTTATGCCACTCTGTGGTAATGGCTGTTATTAAAATTCTAACAGCCATTCTGATCAAATGAATTCTTGTTCATTTTCTGAATCTTGAGTTAGCCTTGTATTTCGGGGACTTTTCAGTGACTCGTCTTTGGGGAATTATGTTTTGTGGGAAATAGGCTTCTTTCCTTTCAGCTTGTTTGATGGAAATCTATTGTTAACATTACAAAGAAAGCTGTCTAGTCTTTCACTTGCTAGTTTGTGTCCTTCTTTGTTATTTGCAGTAGCATTTAACTTTTTTTTTTGAGATGGAGTCTCGTTCTGTCACCCAGGCTGGAGTACAGTAGCGCAGTCTTGGCTCACTGCAGCCTCCGCCTCCCGGGTTCAAGCAATTTTCCTGCCTAAGCCTCCCAAATAGCTGGGACTATAGGCACACGCCACGGTGCCTGGCTAAGTTGTATTTTTAGTAGAGATGGGGTTTCACCGTGTTGGCTGGGATGATCTTGATCTCTTGACCCCTGACCTCATGATCCCCCTGCCTTGGCCTCCCACAGTGCTGGGATTACAGGCATGAGCCACCATGCCTGGCTGCATTTAACTTTTTAAACCATTTACAAAGCACTTTCTCTTTGTGATATTTTGGTTTTTGTGGGGTTTCTTTGTTTTTGTTTTTTTGAAAGAGTCTCACTCTGTCGCCCAGACTGCAGTGTAGTGGCGTAATCTCGGCTAACTACAACCTCTAACTCCTGGGTTCAAGCGATTCTCCTGTCTCAGCGTCCCAAGTAGCTGGGATTGCAGGCATCTGCCACCACACCCAGCTAATTTTTGTATTTTTAGTAGAGACAGAGTTTCACCATGTTGGCCAGGCTGGTCGCAAACCCTTGGCCTCCCAAAGTGCTGGGATTACGGGCGTGAGCCACCAACACCCGGCCTCTTCCCACAGCTTCTTGACAGATTAATAGAGACTTGATTATATTAACTCTGGAGCTTTATTGTTCTGCATATTTTGTACTTAAACCAAATAAACATTCCATAAAACCAATTTTTCATTTTTTCTTGACAGATCTCTTACAACCTTGGGGTTGGTTATATCATCACTGGCTGACCAGGCAGCTGGCAAGGGTAAAAACAAATTTGTGCCTTACCGAGATTCAGTCCTCACTTGGCTGCTTAAGGTAAACCATTGCTCTGGTGTTCTTTTCCAACTAAAAGTTGGCTATTCCAGATGTGACAGAGTAAAGGTGTGTACAAAGCTTCCCAAATACCTGAAGAACTCTCCTGATGACAGTTATTCTAATTCCTAGGAACACAGAATGAAAACTATTTTCTGCTCCTTTTTATTCCATTTGAATGCCGTTTGACAGGCATTATTCATTGCTTGAATATGGAGAGGACACATTTCATCTTGTCTTGACATTATTTGTGAAATGCCAGTCCATTTCCACATAATGTTTCCTTCATAGAGAATAATGTCATACATAACACGTTTAGTGCTTTTATCATATGTGTTGTCCATGGAGTGGGCTTCCTAAAATGCTGTTTGAAATACTTGGCAGGACAATTTGGGGGGCAACAGCCAAACCTCTATGATAGCCACAATCAGCCCAGCCGCAGACAACTATGAAGAGACCCTCTCCACATTAAGATATGCAGACCGAGCAAAAAGGATTGTGAACCATGCTGTTGTGAATGAGGACCCCAACGCAAAAGTGATCCGAGAACTGCGGGAGGAAGTCGAGAAACTGAGAGAGCAGCTCTCTCAGGCAGAGGTAAAAGCAGCCTGGTGCTCCCTGCTGGTAAAGTTCCCTGGCTTGCGGGATTTGACTGGCAAGGGTGTGCTCATTTGCAGTTGCAGGTCATCTGATATGGTTTGGATTTGTGTCCCCACCCAAATCTCATGTCGAATTGTAATCACCAGTGTTGGAAGAGGGGCCTGGTAGGAGATGATTGGATCATGGGGGTGAACTTCCCCCTTGCTGTTCTCGTGATAGTGAGTTCTCACCAGATCTGGCTGTTTAAAAGTGTGTGCCACCTCCTCTTTCACTCCCTTCCTCCTGCTCATCGTGTAGGATGTGCCTTCTTCCCCTTCCACCATGACTGTAAGTTTCCTGAGGCCTCTCCCCAGCCATGCTTTTCATACAGCCTGAAACCCCTTTTAAACCATGAGCCAGTTAAACCCCTTTTCTTTATAAATTACCCAGTCTCAGGTATTTCTTTATAGCAATGTGAGAACGGACTAATACATCATCTCAGTGTGGTTCAGCACTTCATTGTTTATTGGCATCTGCCAAATGCTAAGCATTGTGAAGACCAACATGAGTAATACAAGACTTCTGTCCTAGGAACTTATAGTCATGGAAACAAACAAATAAGAGATAATTCCTGCTACTACCTGATCATTTACTTCAGTAAATCAGTTGGCCTTTGAACTTTCAGTGGGAAAGTATGTTGTTTATATTAACATTATAAACTATTATTTCCACAGGGCCTTGCAGTTTTCAGGGAATTTAGTTAGATATCATCTCCTTCTTAAGCCATGGAAATAGCATGATCAAAGATAATTAAACATTAGGAATAATTCAGAAATCTTTTACTTTTCCATTTAGGAAACAAAATCTTTTTGCATTGTTTATCTTCTTTCTTTGGCTTTACTCAAACTTTAATAATGATACTCTTCCAAATAGGTGTTGCTTTTTACAAATTATTGGGCGAGGCACTGTCTTATTTGAAATATGTAAGAGGACAGCTTTGGAGGCCAAGTGCCTTAGTTTAAGTCACAGGGTTCCACATGCCAGGACTTGGGAGTGTATCTGTCACTTCTAAGTTCGCATTCCTTCACCACTCTCTTCTGACCCCACTGTAGTTGGGAGGGTATTAAGTTGTAAGAAAAAAGGAAAGAAAAACACAGTTAATGACCATTGTTTATGGAACATTTACATGCCAAGCACTATGTTAATACTTTTATCCATCAGCATATTTCATCAAAAAGTATTCAATAGAAGACTGAAAAAACAAACAAAAAGGTGAAGCCAGGAGTCTGAATACTCTATTAATTGGTGATCTTGGCATTGCATTGTAATTGTTTGTTTATATATCTTTCTCTTCTTCCAGGCTGTGGCTCTTAAAGTACAAGATGCTGCGTTTTATTAATTTTTTTATCCCCAATCCCTAGCCTAACATTGATACTAGAAAGCACTTACCACAATTCCTTGCACATAGTAAGTGCTCAATAAATGTTGCTGATTTTTATTATTATTTATAATCATTCAGTACATTAAGTATAATTTTTAGATAGATGGTAAGAAGGGTGGCAAAACACCAGAAAAATAAAAATACTGATAAACCTTGAAAATAGTCATGATGCTAGGGGGAAAGTATAATGGTTCTGCAATGTATTTATAGGTGGATTATCTACTTATTTGCATTTCTACTATGACCATATAATCTAGGCCAGATGGCTCAAGCAATACCTGGCCAACGGAAACAAAAGAAGAGCCACATAGGTCCACCTAGAATTTTCTTTTTCTGTTTCTTTTTTTTTCTGGGCGGGGGGTGGGTGTGGACAGTGTCTCGCTCTTTTGCTCAGGCTGGAGTGCAGCAGTGCCATCTTGGCTCACTGCAACCTCCACCTCCTGGGTTCAAGTGATTCTTTTGCCTCAGCCTCCCAGGTAGCTAGGATTACAGACAGGTATGCGCCATTACACCCAATGAATTTTTTTTGTATTTTTAATAGGGACAGTGTTTTGCCATGTTAGCCAGGCTGGTCTCAAGTGATCCACCCACCTCAGCCTCCCAAAGCGTTGGGGTTACAGGCAGGAGCCATTGGCCTGGCCTATAATTTTCATATATGTCCCACTGTACTCAGCACTAAATGCCACTGTCAGGCTCTGTTAATACCATGAGCCTCAGGCATACTCAGCTAGCTTTCACATCATCACATCTTAGCTTCCTGTCCAAGCTCTGCCATCTTTCTTGTTCATAGAGTTTTACTCTGTAGAGGCTCATGTTACTTTAAGGTGTCAAAGCACATTATTGACAAGTAAAGGCCTCTCCCCTCAAAATTTTGTTAAACTGCAAATACCTGTATTGAAACCTCTTAGTTACTCTCCCTGAACAAACTAGAAGGGAAACCACTGCCCTTTTAGCCAGCTGTGCTGCTTCTGTGTGAATGATAATGATAAATAAGCAAAACGTATGACCATCAGTGGAGAAAGGTAGTCTGAAGGCCCAGATTCAAAATTTAAAATACATGAGAAGTCTTTACCTTTTCTTGCAGATTAATTTAACTGGAATTCATTTATTGATGATGAGTGTTAACCTCTGTCTTACTGAAAAAGAAATCTGCTTAAGTAATATTTTTCCTGCTTATCTATTTCAAAGTTGAATGTTAGCATCTTTTAGGGCTTTAAATGTGAAATTTAAGTATGATGGATAAAATGACTCTAATGATTTGTTTCATTTTCATTCAGAACACTGCTGTTTCTTTTTCAGGGAGCAGCCATGTTCTCTTACATTTGTTTGATTAATAAAGGTCAAAAACCCACCCCAACAGCATATAACTTAATTTTTTCCAACAGAGTATTGATAACTGCTTAAGAGGGACAGTAACTGATTGTCTTGTACATAATGGAAAAATTTTGAACATCAGATATCTCTGGTTTCATTTTAAAGGCCATGAAGGCCCCAGAACTGAAAGAGAAGCTCGAAGAGTCTGAAAAGCTGATAAAAGAACTAACAGTGACTTGGGAAGAGAAGCTGAGGAAAACAGAAGAGATCGCACAGGTAGCTTGATAATTTAGCCCTAAAATATTGGGATTCTTTTTCATTTATTGTCTTTTCTATGTAGTTTCCTGTCATCTTCAGAAAGTCTTTTTTTTTTTTTTTTGGCGGAGTCTCACTCTGTCGCCCAGGCTGGGGTGCAGTGGCATGATCTTGACTCACTGCAACCTTCACCTCCTGGGCTCAAGGAGTTCATATGCCTTAGCCTCCCGAGTAGCTGGGATTACAGGTGCCTACTACCATGCCCGGCTCATTTTTATATTTTTAGTAGAGATGGGGTTTCACCATGTTGGCCAGGCTGGTCTCAAACTCCTGACCTCAGGTGATCTGCCCACCTCAGCCTCCCAAAGTGCTGGGATTACAGGTGTGAGCCACTGCTCCCGGCCTTGGAAGGTCTTCTAAGGGCCCTTTTCTGCTGAACCAGAGATTGCAAAGATCACTTTTTTTTTTTTTTTTTTTGAGACAGGGTCTCCATCTGTCACCCAGGCTGGAGTACAGCAGCTCAATCATAGCTGTTTTGCAGCCTCAACATCCTGGGCTCAAGTGATTCTCCTGCCTCAGCCCCCCAAGTAGCTGGGACCACAGGCACGTGCTACCATGCCCAGCTAATTTTATCTATTTTTTTGTAGAGCTGGGGTCTTATTTTGTTGCCTGGTCTGGTCTCAAACTCCTGAGCTCAACTGGTCTCATACACTCTGGTCTCAGCCTCCCAGAGTGCTGGGGTTACAGGCGTGAGCCACTGTGCCTGGCCCAGCAAAGATCACTTTGAGACACTGACGTCATGTCTTTTTATCAACGTAGAATTTGGCCCATGTATTTGCTAGACGTGTTAGATAGCACTAAATTTGAACAAGCATGGTTACAGAAAATGTCATTCATATTTCCTGCTCATCACATTTAAGCGAAAGTCTGTTTTGTGAATTTTTTTTTTTTTTTTTTGTTTGCAGACAGATCTCACTCTGTCACCCAGGCTGGAGTGCAGTGGCGCAATCTCGGTTCACTGCAACCTCCGCCTCCTGGGTGCAAGCGATTCTTCTGCCTCAGCCTCCCGAGTAACTGTGACTAGAGGCTTGCACCACCACTCCTGGCTAATTATTTTTGTACTTTAGTAGAGACGGGATTTCATTGTGTTGCCCAGGCTGATCTCAAACTCCTGAGCTCAGGCAATCCATCCACCTTGGCCTCCCAAAGTGCTAGGATTACAAGTGTGAGCCACTGTGCCCAACCTTGTTTTGTGATTTTTAGATCACCTGGCAAAGCATGAGGCTACCTGATTTTTATTTTATTTTGTTTTATTTATTTATTGAGATGGAGCCTTGCTTTGTCACCCAGGCTGGAATGCAGTGGCGCAATCTTGGCTCACTGCAACCTCCGCCTCTCAGGTTCAAGCTATTCTCCTGCCTCAGCCTCCCACGTAGCTAGGACTATAGGTGTGTGCTACCACACCTGGCTAATTTTTGTATTTTTTTTAGTAGAGACAGATTCGCCACATTGGCCAGGCTGGTCTCGAACTCCTGACCTCAGGGTATCCACCTGCCTTGGCTTCCCAAGAGGCTACCTAATTGACAGAGAATTTGTAACATATAGCATATCATAATTTTTTCAATGTATTTGATTATTTGGGCTTGTTAGGAAATGCTGTATGTTTATATTTTAACTTTTACTTAAGTTAAAATATAAAGGAAGTACTATTTCTCGGGGTTGTGTGCATTATGAATTTCTCTACATTATATATTTCACGAACATTTTTAATCTTATTGATCATTTGGAAATATTGGACCATCCCGATCATGTAGCTTAACAGCAGTCACTGGAACCCAGTCCAGCCTTCTGCTGATATGTTTCTTATAGGTATCATTCACACCCACACATACCCCTACTCCTCACTCACTACCCCGCTTAACATTGCTTTATGTTTCTCTGTAGTACTTAACACCACTGGAAATTCTGTGTACCATATTGACTTAACTGTTTTCTTATGGCCTGTCTCCTCCCACCAGAATATAACTTGTCATGAAAGATGGGACTTTATTGGGTTCAGTGCTGTATTCCCAGCCCGAGATCAATACCTACTACATTGTAGACTCTAATAAATATATCTTGAATGAATGAATGAATGAATGAATGAATGAATGAATACAAGGCTTTCCGCAGTAGAGACCCAACCTTCTCTTCCAGCCTCAACTCCCACTGCTTTCCCATATTTGCCAGGGGTTCTTGGCCCCTGAAATCATCTAGTATGTCCTGAACCTTTCATTACTGTGCTTCCGTATGCCCTGCCCCAAGAACACCCTATCCTTATATTTCTGTTGAAATTCTTCTTATGCTTCAAGAACTATCTCAAATATATTCTCTTTCTCCAGCCTTTCTTGGTCTCTTAACCCATCATGATCTCTCTCCTTGGAAGCCCCTGGCATTTTGTACCCTTCCAATAGCACAACACTCTCTTCTTTTGTGCTCTAGTTATATGGTCTTGTCTCCTCTACTAAACTCTAAGCTCCTTAAGAGCCAAAATGGTGTCTGGTTCATCCTTGGTGCCCCTATCACGCCTGCCACAAGATGTCGTGCACTGTAGACTCTCTGTTAATGTGGTTGAGCAGAGCAGTATGTGTAATCCCATTGGCACCGTCCCCAGAAACAGTGACTTACTCTTTCCGTGGATACCTCTTATGAATAGAACAACAAATAGTTTCCTTCTTTTGTCTGTTTTTGTGCACAGGAAAGACAACGACAACTTGAAAGCATGGGGATTTCCCTGGAGATGTCTGGTATCAAGGTGGGGGATGACAAATGCTACTTAGTCAATCTGAATGCAGACCCTGCTCTTAACGAACTTCTGGTTTATTATCTAAAGGTAGGAGAACATATAAATACATAGTTGCAATCAAGATTCATTCCTATATAGTTCCTAGTTGAATCTGGAAGCCTGTCTCTGTGATGTTGCTTTTTGTATCCAGCTTAGCCCTCAATAAAACTAAGATGGATAGTGCCCTCAGATCCCCACTAAGAAGGAAAAACAGCTATTTTGTATCATCTGGGGCTATGCAGTTGGGGCTGATCTCCTGTGAGTCCAGTCTCAGAGGGGCACAAGTGGACAACAGTAGGTATGGAGGTGATGCCTCGCTATATGAGAAGGCTCTAGGTATGAGATGGTGAGGATTCTGGGGAATATCTGTGTTCTTCCACAAAGCTCCCGAGAAGCTCTAGAGGTTCTTAGTTATGCTTCTGAGTAATTCCAAGGAGATCTCAAGATCAACACAAGCCTAAAGCAGACCCTCGTCCTAGGTTAAATAGACAACAGTGTTCTTCTAGTTCTATCCCTTGTAAACCTATATCCTCAGGAAATAACTTTTGGTCCCATAATCACCCTTCAAGTGTAGAGGTGGGATGGGGCCGCTCTGTTGCCACTGTGGTTGCAGGATATACTATGTTGGATAGCTTACTGTAGCAGTTCTCAAATTTTCTGACTTCAGAACCCATTTACACTCTTAAAAACTATCAAGGACTCCAAAGAACTTTCGTGTATCTGGGTTATATCTGTGTTTCTGTATTGGATGCTAAGACTAAGAACATTTTAAACTACAAACATAAAGGTACAACCCTTAGCCTTCGGGGCTATAACATCATTACATGTCTCATAGACTCTGGAAAACCCCACCAATACACACGTGATAAAATGAGAGAGCAAAGGCAAACAACATGTTCATGTTTCTATTAAAGTAGTTTTGACCTCATAGACCTCCTGAAAGGTTCTCAGAGACCCCAGGGGTTCTCAGGTCACATTTTTAGAACTGCTTACTTACTCTGCAAAGTGAGAAATAAGATATCTGATTGACATGGATTTAGGACACCGCGACTGACATAAGGCATTCAGCCAACCATCAGGGCATTTTTAATCTCACACATACACTTTCTGAGTTATAGAAACAAACTTTCAAGGACTGGGGACCTGGGGACTTGAAGGCAGCTTGTATATGCAGTTCACACACCTAAAGCTCTAAATGCAGAGGTATTGCCCGCTTGTGAACAATGAGGCACCTTGTTAAGAATTCTGATCTGCCTAGTAAATATATGAAATGCAATGGAGAATAAGCCAAAATTGAAGCAAGGAACCTCAGTCTTCTATGATCCTTTCCCTTCTACTTTCCTAGAGACATAAATATGGTACAGATAGCCCCTGAGTTATTGAGAGTCCCCCAACAAACTTAAGATTTGTTCATTTAGACAATGAGTAGGGGTAAGGAATTGTCTCTGAAATCTTAATTTTGAAAGACCAATCCTTATACTTTCTCTGTCAAATAGGGAAGTATTATTATTGTAGTTATTAAACTATTTTAAGAGCAATAGTAAAAAAAAAAAAAAATGGGACAAGCAGTGACTGAATCACCAATAGTCACAGTCCTCATATTTCTGCGGTTCAGGTACTTAAAAATCACATGAGGCCAGGTGTGGTGTATTTACTGTCAATCAGATGTCCTGTTTCTCACTTTGCAGTGTAAGCAGGCGGTTCTAAAAGTGTGATCTGGGGTCTCTGAGAACCTTTCAGGAGGCCTATGAGGTCAAAACTACTTTAATAGAAACGTGAACATGTCATTTGCCTTTGCTGTCTCATTTTATCACACATGTATTGGTGAATGGAGTTTTCCGGAGTCTATGAGACATGTAATGATATCATAGCCCTGAGGACTAAGGGTTTATGTTTATGTTTGTAGTTTAAAATGTTGTCAGTCTCACGCCAGTAATCCCAGAACTTTGGGAGGCCAAGGTGGGAGGATCACTTGAGGCCAGGAGTTCAAGACCAGGCTGGCAAACGTGGTAAGACCCCTGTCTGTACTAAAAATAAAAATTAGCCGGACATGGTGGCACATACCTGTAATCCCAGCTACTCGGGAGGCTGAGGCAAGAGAATGTCTTGAACCCAGGAGGTGGAGGTTGCAGTGAGCTGAGATCGTACCACTGCTCTCCAGCCTGGGTGACAGAGTGAGACAGCATGTCAAAAAAAAACCCACAAGTTTGTACATGGTGTGACCCACAGGTAGCCATGCTGTATGTCATATCAGTATTAGAAATCCAACATTTTTAGCATTTTCAAAGTTGGATATTTTAAAATATGACTCTCAATGAAACTGCTTTTTAATGGTTCTTAAATTTATGTAACTGTTTTCAAAACACTTTCACTGTTAACTCAGATGATCCTAAAAGAAATGTAAGTAGGTGAAATGGATAATATTATCCTGGTTTTGCCAACAAAGCAATTGAGGCTCAGAGAGTGAACTGGCTTGCCCGTGGTCAAGTCAAAACTGAAACTCAAAGTATTCTACTGTCAAGTCCAATTTCCTGTGTTAAAAACAACAACTAATCATTGTCAATTGGGGATTTTTTTTTTGGTAGTGTTTAAACATTTTTTAATTTGGTGTATTAAGGGTAAGCTTTTTACTTTTAATGCTTAAGATATTTAACATCTCTGGCAGGATTCGTTTAATATTTTTGTGCATATGTTTAATATTTTTGTGCAAACTGACTGTGATAAATTTTTGTTGAGTTACTCATAAGTGTGAGTTTTTCTTTCTTTAATAATCTTTTACTAGGATCACACCAGGGTGGGTGCAGATACCTCTCAAGATATCCAGCTTTTTGGCATAGGAATTCAGCCTGAGCACTGTGAGATTGACATTGCGTCTGATGGAGATGTCACTCTTACTCCAAAAGAAAATGCAAGGTAAGAAAAGTAAATGGCGACTTCACGTGTCTTGTGTGCCTTATTTTCAGAAGGAGAAGGCTGCCTCTTTCTGTTTGCTTTCAGCTATATTAAAGTTAAGGATACACTGGGTCCTCCAGGGGTCCTGGCCTTCTGATTGTAGAGAGTGATTACTGTGAAGGAGTGACTATTTTTGTATGGGAGTTCTAGTTCCACTTATTCCATAACTCTGAGCTTTAGAACCCTGTAAAGATCAGGAGTCCAATAATGAGAGTAAGTGAAAAGAGTAACTTACTGGAAAAGTAAAACTCCAAATGACACTTCTTTTCTTTCATCAAACTTTACCTGACAGTCCTTTGGCAAATTAACCTTCAATTAACTATTTAGTTATCTCATCCACCTCCAATGTTTTGTTTTGTTTTTAAATACCAGAAAATTGGCTAGGCGGGGTGACTCACACCTGTAATCCCTGCACTTTCAGAGGCTGAGGCAGGAGTATTGCTTGAGCCCAGGAGTTCAAGACCAACCTGGGCATTATAGTGAGACACCATCGCTACAGAAAATAAATAAATAAATTAGCCGAGCATGGTGTTCGATTCCCGTAGTCCCAGCTACTTACAAGGCTGAGGTGGGAGGATCACTCAAGCTCAGGAGGTCGAGGCTACAGTGAGCCATGGTCATGGCACTACACTCTAGCCTAGCCTAGGTTACAGATCGAGACCCTGTCTCAAAAAAAAAGTAGAGAGAATAATAAAAAATGTAGAGAGAATAATATAATGAAACCCCATGGACCCATCCTCCAGTTTTAAAAATGAGCACCTCATAGACGATTTTGTTATTTGTATGCCTTCCATATCTCCTCCCCCTTCCTAAAGCAGGCCAGGAACAGTGGCTCACACCTGTAATCTCAGCACTTTGGGAGGCCGAGGTAGGCATATTGCCTGAGTCCAGGAGTTCAAGATCAGCCTAAGCAACATGGCAAAACCCCCTACTCTACAAGAAATACAAAAAATTAACTGGTGTAGTGGTACACACCTGTAGTCTCTGCTACTCGGGAGGCTGAGGTGGGAGGATCACTTGAGCCCAGGAGGTTGAGGCTGTAGTGAGTCATAATTGCGCCATTGCACTCCATCCTGGACAACCAGAGTAAGACCGTGTCTCAAAAAGAAAGCAGAATTATTTGTTATTTATTTATTTATTTATTTCGAGACAGAGTCTCACTCTGTTGCCCAGGCTGGAGTGCAGTGGCAAGATCTTGGCTTACTGCAACCTCCGCCTTCCGGGTTCAAGCAAACCTCCTGCCTCAGCCTTCCAAGTAGTTGGGATTACAGGTGCCCACCACCACGCCCAGAAAAAAAAATTATTTTAAAGTAGATTCCAGATTTTATAACATTGTATCCGTAAATATCTCAGTATGTCTCTCTAAAAGATGAAGATTCTTATAGTTTCAATATCATCATACCTAAAATAATTAATAATATTTCCTTACTAATCATCATATAGCCAGTCAGTGCTGAGATTTCCCCAGTTCTTTCATCAGTGTTCTTTTTCAGATGTTTCTGGAAATTAAGATCCAGATAAGATCCTACCATTGTTTTATAGTATTCCTCTTAGATCTCTTTTAACAAATGGGTTTCTTCTTCCTCTCTTCTCTCTCTGTGTGTGTCTGTTTATCCCTGTCTCTCTCTGCCTTTCTTCTTCCTTGCATTTTATTTGTTGAAGTCACTTCATTGTTGATCCTAGAGGTTCCCACAGTCAGGATTTTGCTCACTGCATCCCATGGCATAATTTCACATCCTCCATTGTTCTCTGTATTTCCTAAATTGGCATTTAAATGTGGAAGCTTGATCAGGTTCAGCTCAAATTTTGACAAGAATAGCCATGGGTGGTGCTTTCTGTCTCCATCAGGAGTGCATCATGTCAGGTTGTCATTCTCTGAGGGGTGTTGGCGGCCCTTGGTCCTCATGGCTTAGATCGTGTGTTTTCATAGTGGTTACACATTCTGCTCTTCCTTCTTTAAGCATTAGTTGGAATGCATTTATTCAGAGAAAGCTCCCCTAGTTATCTCTTTGGCTACCAGGGCAGGGTCTTGTGCTCCTTCCCATTCACCTGGTATTTTCCTTCGTGTTCTCCCAGGTCCTGTGTGAACGGCACCCTTGTGTGCAGTACCACCCAGCTGTGGCATGGTGACCGAATCCTATGGGGAAATAATCACTTTTTTAGGTAACATCTTTGTGTTCTGTAATATATTTTCGTATACGTTTTTTCTGTTATCTATTTAAGTGTAAAGCAAGTTGATTTTCTCTAATGGTGAAAAACCCCACAGAATAAACTTACCTAAGAGGAAACGTCGAGATTGGTTGAAAGACTTTGAAAAAGAAACGGGTCCGCCGGAGCATGACCTGGATGCAGCCAGTGAGGCTTCCTCTGAACCAGACTATAACTATGAATTTGCACAGATGGAAGTTATCATGAAAACTCTGAATAGTAATGGTAAGACCCTCACGCTGTATTCCAGCGCCTTGGACATTTCCTCACCTCACACCACCGAGTGAGGGATAAGCATGCATCAAGTGTCATTCCGCATTCCACATTTTAAACACATAAAACTGCTCATTTCTTTAAAAGGCCATCAGTGAATAACTAATGACAAGATATGGGGGAGATGGTCTTCTCCCTCAGTTACAACCAGGATATGGATGGTCCTGTTACTGAGACCTCTTATTCCCAAGACAATTATGGTAACATTTCCACGGGCCTGCAATACTGAATGATTTTGACAGAATTCCTTACCAAATTTCTCATCATCGAGCCTGTCATATCTGAATCCTTGAGAATGTAAAAACCCCCAAGAGAATATAAATTCAGGAATTTCAAATATAATCTAATGGAAAGATAAAAGTCACAGCATTTTAGTATAAACTCAACTGGAAATTGTACCCCAAAGATACTTATTTAATAAGCCCAGATCACTTTTACAAAAATGATAGTGAAAATGAAATGCTTTATAGCCTCTTTGTTTGACTTATACTCCAAGTTTCACGTCTAAAAGTCTGTGTTCCTTCACCTTTTCTTTCTTCTTCTGTGCCTATACACACCTGCCTGCATTAAATAAAATAGACACCAAATTCTTTCCTTTTTTGCTGTTTTATAAATGTACTTTTTCTTATCCCATCACTCAGTCTCTTAATTACTAGACTTGATGACTGGGACTTAGAAACCAGACAGCAGTTTTCTCCTGTTACCAACCAGAAGATGACATTTCTGGGACTAGAACGATTTTATGAGGATAAAACTGAGGCTGTTTAGGGGCACCTGAGAAAGGTAGTTTGTAGGCTCAGTCCAACCTCCCCTTCCCATTCATCTGATTTGGGGCACCTGAGGTTCCCTAACTTGAACCAGGGTGGACCTCCAGGGTCCTGACGGCCACAGGCCGCCTCTACCTGACAGGGGGCTTGAAGAGCATTTTGTTTTTGAGAGTTGAGCTCTTCCCTTAAACCGTGGCTTTCTCACTTTACTCATTGAGCATATCTGGGAAGAATTTGAGCATAGAGAATTTTGGCATATGTGCTGCCAAGGCAAGCACATGGTGAGAGAATTATCAGTCAGATCTCTGGCATGTCAAATTGGGGATTCTGTTGGAGGAATAAAGTTTTTGGCCTTTTCATTGATTTCTGATTATGAAGTTTTTGCCTAGGGAGCCTCTTTTTTTTAATTATAAAAATGAAATAAAGGGTTGGGCATGGTGACACATCTGTAATCTCAGCACTTTGGGAGGCCGAGGTGGGCGGATCACCTGAGGTCAGGAGTTCGAGACGAGCCTGACCAACATGGAAAAACCTAGTATCTACAGAAAATACAAAAGTTAGCCAGGCATAGTGGCACATGGCTGTAATCACAGCTACTGGGAAGGCTGAGGCAGGAGAATCGCTTGAACCAAGGAGGCAGAGGTTGAGCCAAGATCGCATCACTGCACTCCAGCCTGGGTGACAAAATGAGACTCCTTCTCAAAAAAAAAAAATTTTATATATATATATATATATAAATTAAAGGCCAGGCATGGTGGCTCACATCTGTAATGCCAGCACTTTAAGAGGCCAAGACGGGCAGATCGCTTGAGGCCAGGACTTGAAGACCAGCCTGGGCAACATAGTGAAACCCCATCTCAACTAAAAATACAGAAATTTGCCAGGCATAGTGGTGCGCACTTGTAATCCCAGCACTTTGGGAGGCTGAGGCAGGCAGATTACTTGAGGCCAGGAGTTCGAGACCAGCCTGGCTAACATGGAGAAACCCCGTCTCTACTAAAAACACAAAAATTAGCCAGGCGTGGTGGTGCATGCCTGAAATCCTAGCTACTCGGGAGGCCGAAGCACGAGAACCACTTGAACCTGAGAGGCGGAGGTTGCAGTGAGCTGAGTTCACACCACTATACTCCAGCCTGAGCAACAAAGCAAGAGTCTGTTTCAAAAAAAGAAAGGAAAGGAAGGAAAAAGGGAGGGAGGGAGGAAGGAGGCAGGGGTGGGAGTGGAGAGAGAGACAGAGAAAAAGCCAGACTGTGAAAAACAAGTGTAATGTATTTATATAAAGAGTATAGAGGCCAGGCACAGTGGCTCTTGCCTATAATCCCAGCACTTTGGGAGGTTGAGGCAAGTGGCTTACCTGAGGTCAGGAGTTCAAGACCAGCCTGGCCAACATGGTGAAACCCGTCTCTACTAAAAATACAAAAAAAAGATTAAAAAAAAAAAATTAGCCAGGCATGGTGGCAGGTGCCCATAATCCTAGCTATCCAGGAGGCTGTGGCAGGAGAATCGCTTGAACCTGGGAGGCAGAGGTTGCAGTGAGCCGAGATCGCACCATTGCACTCCAGCCTGGGCAACAAGAGCAAAACTCTGTCTGCCAAGGGAAATAAAAAAAGAAAAAAAGGATAGAACCACAAAGAAAAAAGTGGGAAATAAACAACTTTATGAGAAAAGTTTGGCAATTTCTGTCTTTAAACAGAGTCGAGTGTTAAGATTAGCCACTGGGGCTTTGGGCCCTGCAGTGCAGGGTGGACCATAGCTAGAAATCAAACTTAATTCCACGCTGCCACTTCCCCACCAATTGGGAGGAATCCCAAAGACATTCCAAAGTGATATTGAGACGTCAGAATCACATTAATGGGTCATGTGACTACCTGCCTGAGCGACAAGCCTCCTGTGAGTGATCTTTTGGACGCCTGAGTGAACACAGGGTGTCCAGGAGGATGTAGGATGTAGACTCTAAACTCCAGGTGGAAGAACTCCCATTGGAGAGAGCTCATGGCTTCAGCTAACATTACAGAATCTAGACATCTCTAGTCGCTAACTGCAGAGTTTACAGGTGGTATTGGTTTCACCATTTAGCCATCCCAGATCATAGGTTTCTTATTTTAATCAATTACTACCTTCTTATATATAAATTAACTCCTTCAATAACCAATGAGTATTTAGTAAGCATTTGTTAATTCCTCTGATCCTCTCAGCCACACCAATTAGTCATCAGTGGCCTGGTGCACAGTGTTAACGTGAGTTATTCTTTTGTATCCCACATCAGGCCTTGCTCTCCAATGTTGATTTTGTCCATGTAGAAGTTATATTTATGGCCGGGCACAGTGGCTCACACTTACAATCCTAGCACTTTGGGAGGCTGAAGTGGATGGATCACTTGAGGTCAGGAGTTTGAGACCAGCCTAGCCAACATGGTGAATCCCAGTCTGTCTTAAAAATACAAAAATTTAGCCAGACTTGGTGATGCGTGCCTGTAGTCTCATCTATTCAGGAGGCTGAGACAGGAGCATCACTTGAACCTGGGAGGTGGAGGCCGCAGTTAGAGGTGAGATTGCGCCATTGCACTTCAGCCTGGGTGACAGAGCAAGACTTCATCTCAAAAAAAAAAAAAAAGGAAGTCGTGTTTCCCCCTACCCCATCCTTTACCCAGTTCCAGTGGAGCTTCCCTTTGGGGCATACACACAGTCTCTGATGCAAGTGCTGCCGTGCTGGCGGCTGGACGGTGTTCACTGTGATTCTCCTCTACTGCTAGGTGGCTTCCCGATAATAAGCCTGTCTGCCTGGTGGTCATCCCCTTGGTGGTCTTATTTGAAGATCCTCTTCCCTCTCATGTGGTTTCAGACGAAGGTCCTCCACAAACACTGGGAGAAAGGTTTTTAACTGAGTGGCATTGGCATGAGGGAGCTTGGCTGGTTTTTAGCAGTGCTGCTGATTGATGCTCATGCTCCATGCTTTGGCAAAAATCTAACTAACATGATTGGGAAGAAGCTGGAGTTTTCTGGCTGATGAAGGTGCCCTGTATTCTTCATTGAGGAATATTCCTTTTCAGTTATGAACACCCCACCCCAACACATAGATACACACACTTCCATTTGCCTCCCAGATTTTGGTTCAACTCTAACAGCAGCTGTTCTTCTCTATGCTTGCAACAGCACTGAAAAGTATTATTGGTGTTATTACTGCTGTTATTGATGGCTTTATTGCTGTTGACAGCAAAGCAATTCAGGTCAGTAGTACTTGCAGATATATATTCACCGACATTATCCCAGTAATAGGTAAGAATAATGTATTTTTTAGTTTCTAGAATAAATACTGATCTAAAACCCAGTTCATTTGAATTAAAAGTAAAAGGAAACCTAGTATTTGTGGACAATAATGCCTTCTTCATAAGGGTTTGAAATTGGAATCAGACAAAATAAGAATCATCTCTTTTTTCAATGTCAATGGCAGCTCTAAAGAAAGAGCAACTTTGCCAAGCGCAGTGGCTCTCTCCTGTAATCCCAGCACTTTGGGAAGCCAACGTGGGAGGATTGCTTGAGGCCAGGAGTTCGAGACCAGCCTGGGCAACATAGTGAGACTTCATCTCTATAAAACATTTAAAAAATAAAGAACAATTAAGGGGCTGACAAAGGGTCATACATAGTGCCAGTTTGTTCCATCTGGGATCAAATAGTTCTTTTTTTCTCCAAAGATCTATTTCCCTTCAGTTTTTTAGACATTTTGTTTGTGGATTAATTCTAATTCTGTTTCTCATATAAATACCCCGCTACCGGCGCCACTACCACTGCCGTTTTCTCCTTTCCATCCTTGGGATGATGGGTCGGTTTGAGCTCATTGCATAGTTACCTACTAAGTAAAGAAAACACTAATGAGGACGAGAAAGTGCTATGCCCAAACTAAATGTGGTCCTTTCTTTTTTCCTAAAATACTTACCTCTTTGAGATCTTGGCTTTGGGCACCTGGCTCAGTATTTAAAACAGTTTGTTCAAGAGAAGGAAAGTGATAGGAAAAATAAACCTGTGGGCAATCTCTCAATATTTGGTTGGTATTTTGAGAAAGGGCCAAATAATCTTTGGCTTCTGTCCTGGGCCACAACATAGAATCAGATCAACGTGCTGATCTGGATGGTCTGTTTTAAAATATACTGCTTGTAGGAGTAAAGACTTGAAACTGGTTAATTGATCTGAAAAGAAAATGTCATCAAACATGTCCGTGAGAAAGGTGTTTCCAGACTACTGTTAGGGATCAGAGGCGAAACAAAAACCCAGCCCCTAGACCTCCACCATAGCTGTGTGTGATGAGGGCAGATCTGGGAGTTCCGGGAACGGGGCTTGCAAGACTCTACTGTGGGAGTCTCAGAGGAAGGGCGCGTTGAGTTGCTCTCTCTTCTGTATTTGCACTTCGATCTGTGGCCACTCGTCACTCCCGGTGAGTAGTGGTAGTGCTGCGTCATGACAGCTGCTGGTGCAGTTTTAAACAGCCTCACTCACGTGGCCTGTGTCAGCATGGAACCTTGGGGTGAGATCCCCTCTGCCTCAGTCATTTGGGATCATGTGTGTTTCTGCACTACTGACTAACAATGGAAATGTGGATTATGTATCTTATTCAGAATCTCGTAGCAAAAACCCTATAATGCAATTTTATAAAATGGTGTGTTTTCCAGTTTCTCTGAAAAAGATTTATAAACGCTGTTAGGACAGTTGGGCTCTATCTAAATATAAATGGACAGCAAGTACTGTAGCACCCTGTCCTTTCTTTTTTAAGCCCAGAGCCTATATACTGTTTGAGAAATATGTGTGTATATATTTTTTTAATTCTGAGAGAACTTTTCTTCTCTAGAGCTTACATTAAAAATGTCTTCAGATGCCCTCAAAAAATTTTACCATATTTCTCATTTTTTTTTAGAAGTTATAGGACTTTGTCAGAAGTTCTGATGCTTAGGAATACATAGGTTATTATTATATAGATAATGTTTTACCCACCCAGGATCTACCTTTGCATAAGATTTTTTGTTTGTTTTTTGGTTTGGGTTTTTTCCCCCCAGTTTTTTTATTTTTTATTTTATTTATTTATTTATTATTATTATTTTTTTTTGGTGGACGGGGGATGGAGTCTCACTCTGTTGCCCAGGCTGGAGTGCAATGGCACGATCTCAGCTCACTGCAACCTCCGCCTCTGGGTTCAAGCAATTCTCCTGCCTCAGCCTCCCAAGTAGCTGGGACTATAGGCACATGCCACCAAGCCCAGCTAGTTTTTAGTAGAGACAGGGTTTCACCATGTTGGCCAGGCAGATCTTGAACTCCTGACCTCAAGTGATCGGCCACCTCAGCCTCTCGAAGTGCTGAGATTACAGGCGTGAGCCAACACGTCCGTCCCCCAGTTTGTTTTCCATCAGCTTTTTAAATGATATATTTTAGGTACTCATTTCAGGACTCTACAAAGAAAACTATTTTGCTTTGAAAAAAATGCTGAATTTTAGAATTTTTGTATCAATAAAACAGTATCTTTTTTAAAAGTATCACTCTTTTGCAAAATACTAATTGTAAGCAAAACATTGGAGGTAAGAATACAACATCAGTTTATTATCAAGTGAATGTCCTACCCCAGCCAATTAGTTATCTGAGTTCAAAACCTGACCCTGTCACTTAGTAGCTACATGATGTAAATCAGCTATTTAGCCTTTATGAGCCCCAGTTTCCTTATTTTTAAAATCAGGATGTATCCACACTTAGGCTTGTTGCAAAGCTTTCATGAGGTGATGCATGCAATGCAGATAGAGCCTCTACCTGAGATGTGGCCAGGAGCTGGTAGTGTTATTGTTGCCATTGTGGTTGTCATTTGTATTAAAACAACTCACCTATACTGAGCTTTTCTTGTGATTTTTTAAAAATTGGTTCTTTTTGTTTTGAATTATTTAACTTTATTTTTTGAAGCTAACATGTTATCTTTTTCTCTTACTACTAATACAGAAAATTAGTACAATTTACATGTGTATTTTACAAGTTGATAGGGTATCTTGGAAAAATCAGTCAATAGCAATCAGGTGATATAAAAATTCCTCCTGAGTGACTTTAATTTTCAGCTTCTTTTCTGGAAATTAAACCGAGTACCAGTGTGTGGGGATACAGCATAAATGGCACTGAATAGCAGGCAAATGTGTGAATGTACAAGGAGGAAATCATGTCCCAGGCTGGTCTGAGAATGCATTTCTCAGTAATATAGTTCTGGGAAATATTAACTGTGATGATGATTTTCTTGTTCTACTGAGATTGTCTAATATTCTCCTTTCCTACACTGTCCTCACTTAGTGATGTCGGTAACTTTCTCCTTTTGTGCATGTGGCCAGAGCCTTGGTCTTTCTCCACAGTATCCAGCTCACTGGTCATTACCAAGTCGATGTCCTGCCCAGCCCATTAGGATTTACCTACACCACAGCCATCAGGGTAGCTCATTGGAGCAGGATCTGTTAGTACATCTATACCTATTCACCCATGTGCTTGGTGGTGAGCTCTGTATCTGTACATGTGAGATGTTAGAAACAGGTTTTTATTATTTTTGCAAGTGAATTGTCCTTTTAGATATAGTCTGAGAAATTGCCAGACCATATCCTTAACCAATATTTTCAAACATATGCTGTGATCTATAAGTTTCCTCCTACCTTAGAGAAATTCAAGAGTAATAAGATTTGTGGTGAAAGTCATAAATCTTTGTCATATACCAAAACTGATATTAAATGGACATAGAAATGAATTACCATAAAGAAAGATCAAATCTTATGTGCTTCTGTGTTTGGAGTGGTCCTAGATTTCATGAAGTTTTTCTTCCCAGTGGATAAGATCACATTCCCCTCTCTTCCCCCATCTCTTGGTAGTAGATTAATGATTTATCTAAATGTTAGGATGAGCTCATCAAATTGAAGAAAGTAACATAGAGGATGTGGAGAGTGTATACATACAAAGGGCATTTATCTGCAATGTCAGTAACAAAGAATTTGAGAGGATTTCCCTGATGTGGCCCCTCAGGCTCTCACATAAAGTGTGTTAACTGGCTAGACTCTTTGCTAGAGGAAGCCCCCACAGGCTGCAGTGCTTGGGATGAATGCTTGTTTTAGCCACCACTAAGACACCTTGCCTTGTCTCTTGGCTCACTAGACCCAGTTCAAAACGTGGTTCAGGTCCTGGAGAAGCAATACCTAGAAGAAAAGAGAAGTGCCCTGGAGGAGCAGCGGCTCATGTATGAGCGGGAATTGGAGCAACTCCGCCAGCAGCTCTCCCCCGACAGGCAGCCACCGAGCAGCGGCCCTGACCGCCTGGCCTACAGCAGCCAGACAGCACAGCAGAAGGTGACCCAGTGGGCAGAAGAGAGGTAAGAACTGCAATGCGGGCAGCCCAGAGTCAAGGCTGTGGGGCTTTGAGGGAGGGGTTTGTGAGACATGTCAGGGACAAACGTGGCAATGAGAGAACTCTTAATCCCATATCTGACTTACTGCCTATTAGCTTTTCCTTTCACAGATATTGCCCACCCTAAGTATGTTTACTATAATGTTAGCTGTTAAAGACCCCTCCTACCCTCACAACCCTTTACCCTTCAGTAAAAATGGTGCCAGGTTGCAAGGGTTATACAGGTATGTACTGAAATTTAGAAAGTTTGAATAATTTCTTTAACACAAAAGCATTTTTTTCTTATTTCGTATGCTTTTGAATCTATTTAAATACAACTTCAGTGCTGATTAATCTACTAAATGTGAAAGTTTAAGATTTATGGCTGGGTGCAGGGCTCACACCTGTAATCCTAGCACTTTGGGGAGGCTGAGCCGGGAGGATCACTTGAGCCCAGGAGTTTGAAACCAGCCTAGGCAACATAGTGAAACCTTGTCTCCACAAAAAATAAAAATTAGCCAGGTGTGGTGGGCATGCCTATGAGGTCACTGGGAGGATTGCTTGAGCCCAGGAGTTTAAGACCAGCCTGGGCAACATAGCGAGACCTTGTCTCTACAAAAAATAAAAAACTAGCCAGGCATGGTGGCTCGTGCCTATAATCTCAGCTCCCTGGGAGGCTGAGGTAGGAGGGTCACTTGAGCCCCAGAGATCAAGGCTTCAGTGAGCTGCGATCGTGCCTCCACACTCCAGCCTGGGTGACAGAGAAAGAACCTGACCTGACTCAGGCTGGGCGCGGTGGCTCACGCCCGTAATCCCAACACTTTGGGAGGCCAAGGCGGGTGGATCGCCTGAGGTCGGGAGTTCAAGACCAACCTGGCCAACATGGTGAAACCCTGTCTCTACTAAAAATATAAAAATTAGGTGGGCATGCTGGCAGGCGCCTGTAATCCCAGCTACTCGGGAGGCTGAGGCAGGAGAATCACTTGAACCCAGGAAGGGAAGGTTACAGTGAGCCAAGATTGCACCATTGCACTCCAGCCTGGGTGACAAGAGTAAGACTTTGTCTAAAAAAAAAAAAAAAAAAAAAAGAACCTGACTAAAAATAAAAGATTTATGACTTTAAAATATTTATATCAGAACTCTCAAAGGAGAGAGTGGTGGAGTGTGGGCAGCAAGCCACTCAGGTGCCAAGGCAAGAGACCGAGGGCACAAGCTGTTCCAGTGTAATAAAATATATAGAATAAGAATAGTTACACTAGAAATAGATTATAGATATGATTATATATGTGTCATTAATCATTAGTTTGTAGCATTACTCTTTATTCCAACATTATAATAATCTTTGTTCTACAATTGTAACCTAGGAAAAACGAGGCCATACAGAGATAGGAGCTGAAGGGACAAGGTGAGAAGTGACCAGAAGACAAGAGTGTGAGCCCTCTGTTATGCCCAGACAGGGCCACTAGAGGGCTCCCTGGTCTAGCAGTAATGCCAGTGCCTGGGAAGGCACCCGTTACCTAGCCGGCCTTGGTCTAGCGGTAGTGTCAGTGCCTGGGGAAGGCACCCGTTAGTTAGCAGACCGGGGAAAAGGAGTCTCCCTTTCCCCGGGAGAGTTAGAGAAGACTCTGCTCCACCACCTCTTGTGGAAGGCCTGACATCAGTCAGACCCGCCCGCAGCCATCCGGAGGCCTGACCGTCTCCCTGTGATGCTGTGCTTCAGTGGTCACACTCCTGGTCTACTTTCATGTTCCACCCTGTACACCTGGCTCTGCCTTTTAGATAGCAGTAACACAATTAGTGAAAGTACTAAAAGTATTTGAAATACATGGAAGAAATAATGGCGTAAGCTGTCCTCTCTCTCTCTCTGCCTTGGCTGCCAAACAGGGAAGGGCCCCCTGTCCAGTGGACATGTGACTTGTGTGAACTTGCCTATCATTGGAGGTGGCTCACACTCCTTACCCTGCCCCCTTGTCTTGTATCCAATAAGTAACAGCACAGCTAGGCATTCAGGGCCACTACCGGTCTCCGTGTCTTGGTGGTAGTGGCCCCCCGGGCCCAGCTGTCTTTTCTTCTGTCTCTTTGTCTTGTGTCTTTATTTCTACGATCTCTCATCTCCGAACATGAGGAGAAAAATCCACAGACCCAGTAGGTCTGGACCCTACAGTAGAGGAAATGGTAATAATAATAATCACGACTGCCATAATAAGGACAATAGGTTATTGAAGACTTCTGTTGTGATTGCCATAGTCCAGGCATTTTATTAACATCCCAGCAGCAGTTTGCCATAGGAACTATTATCCCTGTCTTACAGGTCAGGCAGTCAGTTTAAATATCCTGCCTTAATCAACCATCTAGTAAGTGAAAAAAACCAGAGTTTGAACCCAGGTCTCTCTGCAGTCTCCCAGTAACACCTGTGTTATGATAATAATTAATAGTAGTAATAAAAGCAGCACCTGGCCAGGCACAGTGGCTCATGCCTGTGATCCCAGCAGTTTGGGAGGCTGAGGCGGGTGGATCATGAGGTCAGGAGTTCAAGACCAGCCTGGCCAAGATGGTGAAACCCTGTCTCTACTAAAAATACAAAAATTGGCTGGGTGTGGTGGCAGGCGCCTATAATCCCAGCTCCTTGGGAGGTTGAGGCAGAAGAATTGCTTGAATCCAGGAGGCAGAAGTTGCAGTGATCTGAGATCGCACCACTGCACTCTAGCCTGGGTGACAAAGCAAGACTGTGTCTCCAAAAAAAAAAAGCAACACAGCAACACCTTATATCTATAGACCATTTTATACCATGTGCCAGGTACTAATTGCTGTTCCTGTATTCCTCTAATCCTCACAATTGCTACTGCCTTTACACATAAGGAAACTGAGGCTGAGAGGTAAAATGATTTACCCAGATGGTCAGTTTGCTGGTAAGTTGGGCGATGGGATCAGAGCCGTGGCAGTCTGACTCTAGAGCTCTTCTGTAACTCACACACACGCACTGCATCTCTCACTAGCAATGAGATGCAGAACGCAGGCCACACCCGGGGAACGTGACTCCCAAGAGGAGAAAAGGGAACCCTGCCCTGCAGTGAAAGGCTTGCAACAGTCATGCACTTGTTAATGTGAAATAAAGAGAAGGGAGTCAATTATATTTTCCCCAGAAGCTACCCACTCATCTGTCTGTATACTGAAATAGGAAGATTTATCATACTTCTGTTACTCTTTTTTCTGAGATGGAGTTTTGCTCTTGTCACCCAGGCTTGAGTGCAATGGCATGATCTCTGCTCACTGCAACCTCCGCCCTCCAGGTTCAAGCTATTCTCCTGCCTCAGCCTCCTGAGTAGCTGGGATTACAGGTGCCCACCACCACGCCTGGATAATTTTGTGTTTTTAGTAGAGGCAGGGTTTCACCATGTTGGCCAGGCTGGTCTCGAACCCCTGACCTCAGGTGATCCACCCGCCTCGGCCTCCCAAAGTGCTGGGATTATAGGCATGAGCCACTGCACCAGGTGTTATGTTACTTGTTATACTTTATTGTGCCTGGAAGAAACAGAAAAAGGTTATCAGATGGTCCTTTTTCTGAAGAGCTGCCTTTTATACATTTACTATGAGCTGGTGGCTTTACGCCAAGCAACAGCTAGCTGTTTAAGGGTAACTGGTATAATTGTACCCATTGATATCCTTTCTATTTACTAAACAATATAAAAAAGCAAAAGTGTCTTCAAAAGAAGACATACATGTGGCCAACAAAGCATATTAAAAAGTGTTAATTATCACTAATGATTAGGGAAATGCAAATCAAAACCACAATGAGATACCATCTCACACCAGTCAGAATGGCTATTATTAAAAAGTCAAAAAATAACAGATTCTGGCAAAGTTGCAAAGAAAAGGGAACCCTTATACACTGTTGGTGAGAGTGTAAATTAATTCAGCCATTGTGGAAAGCAATGTGGCAATTTTTCGGAGAGCTAAAAACAGAACTATCTTTTCACCCAGCCATCTCACTGCTGGGTATATACCCAAAGAAATATAAGTTGTTCTACCATAAAGACACATGTACATGTATATTCATTGCAGCACTGTTTACAGTAGGAAAGACATGGAATTAACCTGAATGTCCAACAATAGACTGGATAAAGAAAATGTGGTACATGTATACCATGGAATACTATGCAGCCATGAAAAAGAACAAGATCATGTCCTTTGCAGGAACATGGATGGAACTGGAAGCCATTATTCTTAGAAAACGAATGCAGGAACAGAAAACCAGATACCACGTGTTCTCACTAATAAGTGAGAGCTAAATCATGGGAACCGATGGATAGAAAGAGGGGAACAACAGACACTGGGGCCTGTGGGAGGAGGAGGGAGAGGCTCAGGAAAAAAAGAAAGAAAGAAAACAAAAACTGTCAAGTACTATGCTTACTACCAGGGTAATGAAATAATCCATACATCAAACCCCTTAGTCATGAGTTTACCTATATATAACAAACATGCACATGTACCCCTGAACCCAAAATAAGTCAAAATATTTACATTTTAAAAAACAAAAGTATCTGATAAAGAAAGTGGTTTGCTTTTAATCATAGTGTTTTTCAGTTAAATAGTTTATAATATTTTTTTCATTTCCCTTAATTCCAGATTGATTTTCTTTGGGGCTTAAATTCTTCAAAAAAAAAAAAAAAAAAAAAAGAAAGAAAAGTAAAGAAAAGTGTAGAGGCCGGGTACAGTGGCACAGGCCTATAGTCTCAGCTACTCCAGAGGCTGAGGCAGGAGGATCACTTGAGCCCAGGAGTTTGAAACTGTAGTGCACTGTGATCACGCCTCTGAATAGCCACTGCACTCCAGCCTGGGCAACATAGGGAGACCCTATCTCCAAGAAAAAGAGAGATAGAGAGAAGGAAAGAAAGAGATAGAGAGAAGGAAAGAAAGGATAGAGAGAAGGAAAAAAGAAGATAAAGATCTATTTTGGGAATGTCATTCAAAAACATAAGAATAGTTGCATTATTGATTTTTGTCAGGTTTCACTGGATAAAATTAAGATGTCATTAATTGTATGTGATTATATAAGAAGCTAGAACTCTTACCTAAGTAAATGTTGATGGGTTGTGAAATAATGAAGGACTCTTACCTACATTAATATTGATGGTTTGAGAATCAAGTATATTTAATTCTGGTGAGAATTACAAAGAAAGCCACAGATGTCATTTATTCTCTTTGTACACTTAGAATGTAGTATGAAACAAGATATAAACTTGTGGAAAAATTAAATCATAATAGTAAATTAAAGAACAGTTTCATTGAACAATAGGAAACATTAGGATTATATATTAATAGTTATTTGTTTGTTTTCTATCTCCTACCCTGGAAAATGAGTTGCAAGGGACAGGGAATCCTTTGAAGTATCCCTAGTGCCTAGAATGATGTGATCACCTGGTAGGTATTTAGTAAATATTGTATGTATTGAGTCTTCTACAGGGATTTTCAGGGAGAAGGAAGGATTTCAAGCACATTTGAGAGGTAGAGTTTGACGAGCAGAGAGAAAGTAGAGGACATTTTGGATGGGCAGATTGGCATGAACAGATGAAAAGCAATGGAAGAGAGTAAGATGTATTTGGGAGACTGCAAAATAACTGTTTTGTGTAGTCTAGAACAGGGGTCCCTAGTCCCTGGACCACAAACTGGTACAGGTCCATGGCCTGTTAGGAGCCAGGCTGCACAACAGGAGGGTGAATAGTGGGCCAGCAAGCGAAGCTTCATCTGTGTCTATAGCTGCTCCCCATCACTTGCATTACTGCCTGAGCTCCACCTCCTGTCAGATCAGCAGTAGCATCAGATTCTCATAGGAACACAAACCCTATTGTGAACTGTATATGTAAGAGATCTAGGTTGCATGTTCCTTATAAGAGTCTTGAGCCTGATGATCTGTCACTGTCTACCATCACCCCCAGATGGAACTGTCTAGTTGCAGGAAAACAAGCTCGGGGCTCCCACTGATTCTACATTATGGTGAGCTGTATAATTATTTCATTATCTATTACAATATAATAGTAGAAATAAAGTGTACAATAAATATAATACACTTGAGTCATCCCAAAACTCTCCCTTTCCCCAACCTCGGTCCATGGAAAAGTTATCTTCCATGAAACTAGTCCCTGCTGCCAAAAAGGTTGGGGACCACTGGTGTAGAAGGTGATTTAATGGAAGAGCAGGGAAAATTAAGTTCAAAAGTGTTAGATAGGGGTTGTGGGAGGCTACAGACTCAGAGTGTGGGATTTATTTTATGGGAGAAGAGGAGCCCTGCGAGGCCTTGAGCCGAGGAATGGCCTGGGGAAGGCGGGGCTTGATAAGGACTGCCTTGCAGTGGAGCAAGAAGAGCCTGGGTGCCGTGAGATTATTGGGAAGGTGTAAGGGCTCTGAGCCAGGGATATGATAAAACACAGAGAGACTTAGGAGATGCTTCAAAGGAGGAGTCAATAGGCTTACTTTTTGGACGTTGTAGAAAAGAGAAGAGACCGAACTGACTGAACAAATCTAAGCGTGGGTGACCAGAAAAATGGTATCACCATTTTTCTTTTTTTTTTTTTTTTAATAGAGATGAGGTCTTGCTATGTTGCCCAGACTGGTCTTGAACTCCTGGCCTCATGATCCTCCCACCTCGCTTCCCAGAGTATTGGGATTATAGCCGTGAGCCACTGCCCCCAGCTAGTAATACGGTTTTAAGAAACTGTTTGCTTTACATTAGCATCCTCGCAGCATGTATCCTCTGTCATTTCTAAGGTGACGAGTGGGGAGTAGAGATTTAGATGCTTTGAGCTCATTATTTTTCTATGATATAAGAGTTTCCTGCAGTGTGTAAATGGTGGAAAAGAGAAGTTATATATGGCGCAGAGCAATTGCTAGATGGAGTGACTTTTGAACCCAGATTCAAATGTGAAATCCAGAAGCACTGTTTTCTTTATTCAGGGGGCCTTTTTTGAATATCCTACAATGGGTCGTGCACTTGGCCAGGAGCTAGTGTAGTGCAAGCAAAAAAAGACATGGTCCCTGCCCCGGGGCACTTAACAGCCTAGTAGGAGACAGGTATTAAATAATTACACTAGTAAAAATGAAAAGTTCTAACTATGGCAAATGCTATGAATGCTAAAGGCATGGGGCTGAGAGAACATATAAGATGATTTTGACCAATTTGGGATATTAGAGAAACTTTTTATCAGCAAGTAATGTTGTGCAGAGAGTTGAAAAAAAGAATTCCTGCTACAGCAGAACTACCTTACCACGGCATGACTTTTGCCAGCTGCAGAAGTCATGAAAAATACTTTGTTCTCCTAACTCCAGGTTTCTCTCATCTACCAGCCGCTCCCTGCCGCACCACCCTCCCTCAGCACACACAAGTCATAATCATCGTTTGTTTTTCCTGAAGATTCCTGTACTGGTTTTTTGCATCCTCATATCACAATCTGATCGTTTTCATATGTTACATAATTAACGTGGTTTTCAGTTAAGTCGCTCAACAATTTGCTCCCCATCAGTAGTTCTCAACAGATAGCCCGTCTGTGGGCAGGAGGGAAGGATGAGAGGTAGTCTGGTAAAATAGTTTGAAAAATACTGCCCGAGAGGAGTTTTCTACCATTTTCTAATAAGACGCTCACTTAGAAACGGGATTGCAGTTTTCTTTCAGATTTTCTCATTCCCTTTTCTGTGACACTGCAGGGACGAACTCTTCCGACAAAGCCTGGCAAAACTGCGAGAGCAGCTGGTTAAAGCTAACACCTTGGTGAGGGAAGCAAACTTCTTGGCTGAGGAAATGAGCAAACTCACTGATTACCAAGTGACTCTTCAGATCCCTGCTGCAAACCTCAGTGCCAATAGGAAGGTAAGAATGTCCTTCAAGTGAGGGGGCAAGATGTACAATAGTAAATACTGTAAAACAGGATCTAAAACTGAAATCCCAGAAACATTCCTGAGGAGATCCTGATATCAGCCAGAGGTATTTATTTTTTTCAAGACATTCTTTATACACCTCATTGGGTAAGAATGCTATTTAAATGATGTTTTTAGATATGTAATAAGCAGAATACACAGAATTTTAGTGGCTGAAGGACTTCCTAATTGATATGCCTTCTTTAAAACAATAAAACTAGAAACATATTTTACCTGGTTTTTTTTTTTTTTTGCATGTAAATACCCCTTTCTGAATTGGGGGAATATGTGTAGGCTATAGTACCTGGTTTTTGTTTATTTGGTTTTTTTTTTTAGACTAAGTCTCACTCTGTCACCCAGGTTGGAGCGCAATGGCATGATCTCAGCTCACTGCAGTCTCCGCTTCCCGGGTTCAAGCAATTCTCCTACCTCAACCTCCTGAGTAGCTGGGATTACAGGCACGTGCCACCACACCTGGCTATTTTTTGTGCTTTTAGTAGAGACAGGGTTTTGCCATATTGGCCAGGCTGGTCTTGAACTCCTGAGTTCAAATGTTCCACCCGCTCGGCCTCCCAGAGTGCTAGGATTACAGGCGTGAGCCACTGTGCCTGGCCTGCTATGGTACCTTTTTAAGAGTGAATTCTACAAGAAAGGAAGACTTTTTATGATACCTAACTTCAAACACACAGAACTCTTTGCAAGCGTTTGAGAGCTTCCTGTCATTTCACCTTGAAGAATTTTTCCTGTAGAGAGAAACTTTGAAGAAAATTGTTTTTTGTTTTTGTTGTTGTTTATCAGGGGAACCCACCCCCAATATTTCAATGTAGGTTCTCTATTTTCCACAAGTGTCAGCTGGCTGAGAAATAAAGAGAAAGAATACAAAGAGAAGAATTTTACAGCTGGGCCGCTGGGGGTGACATCACATGTCAGTAGGACCGTGATGCCCACCTGAGCCTCAAAACCAGCAAGTTTTTATTAAGGGTTTCAAAAGGGGAGGGGGTGTAAGAACAGGGAGTAGATACAAAGATCACATGCTTCAAAGGGCAAAAAGCAGAACTACTAATACTGGTCTAGCAAAGATCACATGCTTCAGAGGGAACAGGACAAAAGGCAAAAGCAGAGCTACTGATAAGGGTCCAACAAAGATCACAAGGCAAAGAGCAAAAGCAGAACTACTGATAAGGGTCTATGTTCAGCGGTGCACGTATTGTCTTGATTAACATCTTAAACAACAGAAAACAGGGTTCGAGGGCAGAGAACTGGTCTGACCACAAATTTACCAGGGCGAAGTTTTTCCCCACCCTAGTAAGCCTGAGGGTACTGTAGGAGACCAGGACATATGTCAGTCCTTATCTCAACCAGGTAAGACAGACATTCTCAGGGTGGCCATTTATAGACCTCCCCCCCAGGAATGCATTCCTTTCCTAGGGTGTTAATATTAATATTTCTTGCTAGGAAAAGAATGTAGCAATCTCTCTCCTACTTGCATGTCCATTTATAGGCTCTCTGCAAGAAGAAAAATATGGCTCTTTTTGCCCGGACCCGCAGGCAGTCAGACCTTATGGTTGTCTTCCCTTGTTCCCTAAAAATCACTGTTATTCTTTTCTTTTTCAAGGTGCACTGGTTTCATATTGTTCAAACACACGTGTTTTACGATAAATTTGTACAGTTAACACAATTATTACAGTGGTCCTGAGGTGACATACATCCTCAGCTTATGAAGATAACAGGATTAAGATATTAAAGACAGGCATAATAAATTATAAAAATATTATTTGGGAACTGATAAATGTCCATGAAATCTTCACAATTCATGTTCCTCTGCCACAGTTCCAGCTGGTCCCTCCGTTCAGGGTTCCTGACTTCCTGCAACAGTTGTTTTTTGAGATGGAGTTTCACTCTTTGCCCAGGCTGGAGTGCAGTGACATGATATTGGCTCACTACAACCTCCGCCTCCTAGGTTCAAATGATTCTCTTGCCTCAGCCTCCCAAGTGGCTGGGATTACAGGCATGTGCCACCACGCCCAGCTAATTTTGTATTTTTAGTAGAGGTGGGGTTTCACCGTGTTGGTCAGGCTGGTCTCAAACTCCTGACCTTAGGTGATCCACCAAACTTGGTCGCCCAAAGTGCTCGGATTACAGGCATGAGCCACCGTGCCCAGCCAGAAAATTGTTTTTCTATGACTCAGAAAAAAAGAAAAACTAAATTTAAATAAAGTAAGAAAATTGTTTTTCATCCATTCATTTTTTCTTCCAGCAAGCAAGCTAGAAAATGAGTCAGGGAGTATCTTATCAGTCTTGCTGGGTTTTACTCTTTTGACCTAGTAGTTCCCCTTTGGGAAATTTATTCTAAGCCCATAATCATTGAAGTGTCCAGGATGCTTATCATAGTGGACTTTATAATAGCAAAAACTTGAAACAGACATGATGTCAAACAATAGAATAATTAGTCAAATGTGTAGTAGATCCAAATGCTATGGATACTGCTATGTTGCCATTAAAAAATCATGTCTATGGCTGGGTCTGGTGGCTCTCGCCTATAATCCTAGCACTTTGGCAGGCCAAAGTGGGCAGATCACTTGAGTGCAGGAGTTTGAGACCAGCTTGGGCAATGTCACAAAACCCCATCTATACAAAAAAATGCAAAAAAAAATAAAAATAGTCAGTCATGATGTCATGTGCCTGTAGTCCCAGCTGCTTGGGAGGCTGAGTTGGGAGGATTGCTTGAGCCCAGGAGGTCAAGGTTGTAGTGAGCTAAGATCATACCACTTCACTACAGCTTGGGTGATAGAGCAAGACCCTATCTAAAAAAAAAAAAAAAAAAAAATTCATGTTTATGAAGAATATTTAACAATACAAGAAAAATGATCACAATATCAAAACTGGAGAGAGGATTGGGGTATGAAGTTATACTTTTGTTTAGTCTTGATTGTGATAAAAGTTAAGTGTGCATGAGTGTACATAGAAGAGAGAAAATAAATCAGACTATCCCTCTAGGTGGTAGAATTTTATCTTCTTTTGTATACATGTATGTGTTTTGCAAACTTACTATGTTACTGTTGTATATATATTACTTTAGCAATCGAAAAAGGAGTTATAACAGTTTGTTTTTTCTTCCTTATGCAGAGAGGTGCAATAGTGAGTGAGCCAGCTATCCAAGTGAGGAGGAAAGGAAAGAGCACCCAAGTGTGGACCATCGAGAAGCTGGAGAATAAATTAATTGATATGAGAGACCTTTACCAAGAATGGAAGGAAAAAGTTCCTGAGGTAAAAGAGACAAAATGTAAAGGAGATTTTGTCATGTTAAAAACAGAGAATATAAGCGATTTAGCATCTCACACACACACACACAGATGTGCTGATGATACTTGAGACATTTATATCAGGAAAATAAATTACAAGTGATTTTGAAAGAAGTGCTAAGTCGAATCAGTAATATAACACGTGATCCCCACACAGATGGGAACTAAATGAAGAAAACGTATAGTAGATTCTTATCTGGCTTCATGTTTACTACATTTCAAGTGAAAAGAAGTAGAATGAAGTAAATTTATGCCATTTTATCGGTGCTGTGAAAAATCAGCTTGGCTGGAGCCAGTGTGGATTTCACATTCATTAATGTGTGTTCACACACCCCTAGCTGTGATCATGGCTGGGTAGATTACTAAGAGTAATTTTAGCTTGCATAATCCGTTTTTTGGACATTAGCAGTGGAAAAGAAGACTTGGCAAAGGAGATGAGGCAAAGCAAAGGGGATGAAATGAAAAAGCTGCAGGTGAGGTGGGTAGGGACGACAACGCAGGGACTGAAGAGGAATCCTCTGCACAGGCATCACTTAGCTCCCCAGCAAGCAGGCCCCTCCTATGGGCTAATTTTTTTTTTTTTTAATGGAGACAGAGTCTCACTCTGGCTGGAGTGGTGTGATCTCGGTTCACTGAAACCTCCATTTCCTGGGTTCAAGCGATTCTCGTGCCTCAGCCTCCTGAGTAGCTGGGACCATAGGCATGCGCCACCACACCTGGCTAATTTAGTTTTTCTTTATGTGACATTCTAATTTTACTTCCTGTTTAAATGGATAGATTCTTTAAATTTTTTTTCAAACTCTAGTTTTAAATAATATTATTTAAATTGATGTTGTGTTTCTGATTCATCCACTCACTGGCTCCTCCTACTGCTCAGGCAAAGAGACTCTGCGGGAAACGAGGTGACCCTTTCTATGAAGCCCAAGAGAATCACAACCTCATCGGGGTGGCGAATGTGTTCTTGGAATGCCTCTTCTGCGATGTGAAACTCCAGTATGCAGTCCCTATCATCAGCCAGCAGGGGGAGGTAAGCACAGGCCAGCCTTGGAGAACGATGGTGGTTCAAGTTTTTCGTTTTATTTTGTTTTTCATTCTGTTTAAGCTGTGTTCTTGAGGTGGATCAAGAAACTAAGGCAAATAGTCAAGATCTGCATTCTTCTTTCTCTACTAATAATCGATATTAGAAGCTTTGAGGATTAAGTCATGGTCTTAAAGGATTATTATAACACATTTAATATTTGGAGGTCACAAGTGTTTTCTTTGTTTTAATCAAATTGGAAGTATTTTGGAAACCATATTCAGCTCTGTGCCCCATATTGCTCTCTCTTTTTAAAGGTAATCTCATACTTTTGCAATATACTCTAGTTCCTTCCTGGCCCCTAAATGGTCTTTATAAGATACAGCTTAGGAGGATTATTTTGCAATCCAGAGTACTCAGACAAAACAGGCTTCAATGACTTCTTGTTACCCTCCTTTTAAACTCTGGTGTTTCAGCTATTTAGATATAGTGGCCTAGGTAGACATAAGGTATTTCAGAAAATGTACCTTGAACTACCAAGTTATTTCTTGTGATTCTTAGGCGAAGAATAAGATGCCATTCTGCCCAAAGTGAAGCTGCAGTATAGACCCAGGTTCCCAGTTGTTGGGTATAGGTGCACAGCCCACCATCCACTATGGAAACACGCCATGGACATTCTGTTCCAGAGGACCAGTGCCTAACAGTGCTTTTTCCCATGAGAAAAATGGGCACAGTTCGGTGTCTGAAACTAGCCTGGTCAACATTGTGAGACCCCATCTCTAAAAAAGAAGTTTAAAAATTGACCAAGCATGGACAGGGCGCAATCGCTCACGCCTGTAATCCCTGCACTTTGGGAGGCTGAGGCGGGTGGATCACAAGGTCAGGAGTTTGAGACCAGCCTGGCCAATATGGTGAAACCCCATCTCTACTAAAAATACAAAAAAGTCAGCCAGGCATGGTGGCGGGCACCTGTAGTCCCAGCTACTCGGGAGGCTGAGGCAGGAGAATCGCTTGAACCCAGGAGGCGGAAGTTGCAGTGAGCCAAGATCACACCACTGCATTCCAACCTGGGTGACAGAGCGAGATTCTGTCTCAAAAAAATATTAATAATAATTAACCAGGCATGGTGATGAGCACCCATAGTCCCAGCTACTCAGGAGGCTGAGGTGTGAGGATCACCAAAGCCCAGGTAGGTCTAAGCTGCAGTGAGCCGTGATCATACCAATGCAGCCCAGCCTGGACAACAGAGCGAGACCCTGTCTCAGAAAGAAAAAGTGAGCACAATTAAGATGGCAGAGTGATTCAGTGGCTGAGTCCCTAGCTCAGGACTTCTTAATTTGGAGTCTGTGGTGTGCTTTGAGTATTCCATGAATCCCCCTGAAATTATATTAAAGTGAATTAGATTATCGAAAAGCATTAAAAAAACAAAAAAACTTAAGAACTACTATCTTCTGATTTCTTTTATTTCCTTTCTTTCCTCATCTTACTGCTTCTTCCGTGTTTGTCTTACTTCTCAGATATCATCATGTGATTTCTCTTAGGTCCTTGGTGCCAGTGCCAATTACTGTCTGGAAGTTGGATCTAATCTACCTTTAAAAATAACCTTCCCTGTTTAGGATGACAGCGCACTACCAGAACATGTGTCACCTTGTACACATGTGTAGTGACAGCCACAGTTATTACAACCTGAAACTGTGTGACGAGAGATAATTAAGACAATTAAAGCACTCCAAGAATGCAAATTTCAGAATAATCCTTTTCCTCTAATTTGATTCTGTGCAGCCAGCTTTAAGAGAAACATGGTTAAACTGACTCCTATCCAGAGAGCCACCATGATAGAAAATTTAAAGCCTTTTAATGAAAAAGTTTTAAAATAACTTTCCTCATATTTGTGTGGCTTTCAATATGCTATTCCTCCTGGATTAGATCTAATGGCACTGCTTTATGGAACCCTCCTTCATCCTGCTCTCAGCCCCAATCTGAGTTACACACCCATTCTCTACTCTCAAGAGAATAAAAGCTGCCCGAGCCCAGGAACCTTGTCAATTTGGTTTGCTGTTGGATGCACAGCACTTAGCACAGTTCCTGGCACAGTTAGTTCTTGGTAAATATTTGCTGGTGGGTAAGTTTATCCTATAACAACTCACACATATATCTATTATAGCAACTAATCTATGCTGTTATTGGTGAGTTTTATTGCTGTTGCTGTTTGAGACCGAGTCTCACTCTGTTGCCCAGGTTAGAGTGCAGTGGTGCGATCTCAGCTCACTGCAACCTCTGCCCTCCCCTGTTCAAGCAGTTCTCCTGCCACAGCCTCCCAAGTAGCTGGGACTACAGGTGTGACCCACCATGCCTGGCTAATTTTTTTTTTTGTTATTATTTTGTATTTTTAGTTGAGACAAGGTTTCATCATGTTGGCCAGGCTGGTCTTGAACTCCTAACCTAAGGTGATTCACCTGCCTCGGCCTCCCAAAGTGCTGGGATTACAGGCTTGAGCCACCACACCTGGCCTGTTAGTGAGTTACTTCTCTGTCTTTCCTCCTTTGACTGTTCCCTGTTGGCAGAACCTGTGTTTTTATTTTGGTATTTCATGAGCTAGCTCTTTGGTCAAATGAATAAGTGAATTAAGCATTTTATATTCACTCACATGAATATTTTAAAAAACATAGATAGTCAGATGCGGTGGCTCACGCCTATAATCCCAGCACTTTGGGAGGCCAATGCAGGCAGATCACCAGGTCAGGAGTTCGAGACCAGCCTGGCCAATACGGTGAAAATCCATCTTTACTAAAAATACAAAAATTGGCTGGACACAGTGGCTTACGCTTGTAATTCCAGCACTTTGGAAGGCCGAGGCATGTGGATCATGAGGTCGGGAGTTCGAGACCAGCCTGGCCAACACAGTGAAACCCTGTCTCTACTAAAAATAGAAAAATTTGCTGGGCATGGTGGCAGGCACCTGTAATTCCAGCTACTTGGGAGGCTAAGGCAGGAGAATCACTTGAACCCAGGAGGCAGAGGTTGCCGTGAGCCAAGATCATGCCACTGCACTCCAGCCTCGGTGACAGAGCTAGACATCGTCTCAAAAAAAAAAAATTACCTGGGCTTGGTGGCACGCACCTGTAATCCCATCTACTCAGAAGGCTGAGGCAGGAGAATCGCTTAAACCTAGGAGGCGGAGGTTGCAGTGAGCTGAGATCGTGCCACTGCACTCCAGCCTGGATTATAGAGCCAGACTCCGTCTTGGGGAAAAAAAAAAAAACACATGGATACTAGATGACTCCAGGTAGACTGTGAGAGCTGCCTTTAAGCTATTCCTGGGCTGTCCTGTGGAAGGATACGTTTGAGGATGACTCCAGAAGGCAAGTTGCAGGGAGGCAAATTTGGCTCACACTAAGGCAGGACGATCACAGGGGCAAGTGGTGGAATGGGCTGCTCTGGTAGTAGCAGGGCTCCCGTTACCGAAGATGACCAAGCAGCAGCTGCAGAGCCCCTGTCCAGTTTCATTGTAGAAGGCACGTCTGTCTTAGGTCGAGGTTGCCCACAAGACGTCTGTTAACTCTGAGGTGCTCTGGTTCCTTGACCCAGGTTGCAGGGCGTCTCCACGTGGAAGTGATGCGTGTTACAGGAGCTGTTCCAGAGCGTGTGGTGGAGGATGACTCTTCGGAGAATTCCAGTGAAAGTGGGAGCCTTGAAGTTGTAGACAGCAGCGGGGAAATCATTCACCGAGTCAAAAAACTGACATGTCGGGTGAGAGGACAGTGATGGGAGGCTCATATGAATGACCTTTTTCATGCAAAACCATTTTACAAAAAATCTTAGGAGAGTTTTTCATCCAGGGTAGTAAAAGTTGAATTTTGTAACAGCAGATACAATGGTGGACAGTACTTTGTTTTCAGAAATATGGCACACTTTCTATTGACAGTTGCATCAAATTTCAAAAGTATCTATGTATTTGACATGCAAGAAGTGTATGTTGCTTAGTGAATTATGTTTTTCTGTTAAAGGTAGCCTCAGTCATTAGGAAGTGTGGGGGAAAAGAAAGAGAGATCAGACTGTTATTGTTTTCTTTCTTTATACTTTGTCTCTGTGTCTCTTTCTTTTCTCAAGTCTGTCGTTCCACCTGATGAGAAATGCCCACAGGTGTGGAGGGGCAGGCCACCCCTTCAGGAAGCTTTTGCAGGGATGTGTGTATTTGTTGCCAAGTTTGTATACTATAGTTACAGAACTGTGGTACAGATTTCATTATCGATACAATCCTTAGTGTCACAGTGTCAGATATAATATTTTCAGATGTCAAATGGATGACCGATTTATTTAATTGCTTACTGTTAAATTTGAGGTAGCTGAAATAAAAGAATGTTTAGTGTTTATTGGAGTTTTATTTGTATTGTTTATCTCTTCAGGTAAAAATTAAAGAAGCAACGGGACTGCCCTTGAACCTCTCAAATTTCGTCTTCTGTCAATATACATTCTGGGACCAGTGTGAGTCTACGGTGGCTGCCCCAGTGGTAGACCCCGAGGTGCCTTCACCACAGTCCAAGGACGCCCAGTACACAGTGACCTTCTCCCACTGTAAGGTATAGATGCCGCTACCAGATGAGCTGGGCAGGAAGCAGCAGAAACGGGTGCAGTTCAATAATCGATTGTCCCCATGAGCATTTGTTTTAAGTATAATATGTTTATTAGGATGTTTTAACCTCAAAAATGTACCTTCTTACACATGCAAATAGTTTAGAAATATTTAAAATAAAATCTAAAAGATCTCTACCAACAGTCTTGTTCCCCAAAGATATAAACCACCAATGACAGGTTGCTACATATTTCATTAAACTACTTTCTATGCTCTACATCTTTTATATGTGTATGATAACGTATGTACAAACACCCTTTTATATCATGCACACGTAAGTTCTTTAAAAATGCTATACAAAAGTGGGATCACATTATACATATTTCAGAATTTGTACGTCTTAACATGTAAGTTGCTACATATCTCATTCTTAGGAAGATAGCATTACATTCTAATGTGTCATATGAGTGATATATTTCATGTAGATTTTCTCACAAGTCATATGAGAAAATAGAAAAAGGGAAAGGTGAATTTGTGGTGAATGTGGTTGGATCTCCTTTGAGACATCATATATTCTTCCTGGCTTTCACAAGGGACTGCTGAGAAGTCATTTCTGAAAGACCAGCTCCATCCTCTCTGTGGTTTTGATTTTCGTTAGACAACCCTTCATAGATACTCAAGACCCCTTCTTTTGCAAATCATGCTTATTCTTTCTGGTTCTACACTTAGAAAATTAACCCATATCACCACCTATAAAATTTCACATAGGTAAAGGCTGTCAAGTTTTTCTTTTTCTGAAAACAAATAGCCTACATTTATCTGTATTCACCAAGTCTGTTCCTCAAAATCTTTGTTAATCATTTTTATTGTTGTTCTCTGAATATTCTTTTAAATATTCCCCATCTTTCTGTGAATCCACAAAGCTGCTTGTTTAGAAAGATGAAATCTGAATTTCAAGTGTGTTCTGGTTAACAGCTGTTTTAATAAATGCTAGTCCCAGAGCTTCTGGGCTCATTGTGATCTTGGAGTTTTTTGGATCTCTTGTGATCTTGGAGTTTTTTCATCTCTAAAATATATAGATTGTCATGAAGTTTGTTTTTCTTCTTAAATTCTGGGTCTATCTTCAAATAAAATAGACTGAAAAGCAGATACTATATGGTTAAATAAATATAGCACAACTGTTTCTGCAAATTAGCATCACAAGAGATGTCTTCACCTGAGATTCCACTGAGAGACTAATGGAAAGAAAATTAGCTTGGCTTGTTGCCTACTGCGTTTCTCTGGGTGATTTGCCACCCATCTCGGTCAGTTCAGTATTCATTTCCTCACAATCATCTGTTTGGGTTTGTTTTTGTTTTTAAAGACGATGTCTCACTCTGTTGCCCTGGCTGGAGTGCAGTGGCATAATCATTGCTCACTGTAGCCTCGAACTCCTGGGCTCGAGTAATCCTCCTGCCTCAGCCTCCTGAGTAGCTGGGACTACAGGCATGTACCACCACACCTGGCTAATTTTTACTTTATAGAGACAGGATCTCATTTTGTTGCCCAGGCTGGTCACTATCTCCTGGGCTCCAGCTATCCTCCTGCCTCTGCCTCCCGAAGTGCTGGGATTACAGACGCGAGTCACCATGCCCAGTCTATCTGTGTTTTAGAAAGAGGAGATAGGGTAGGAAAGCTTAAAAGCAAGAGCATAAAGTCATGAAGATAACCATATAAAATTTAATTCTGTTATTATTCTCCTAAGCCATGGCAAGGAACAGTTCATTGAGTTAGTCTGTGCCAGCTGAAAATCAGACTGGTCCTGTGGACCTGAGAATGAACCAAGTGTAAGACAATGTAGATTCAGCTCTGTAACTAACAAACCATATGACTTTGGACAATTTACTTTCTTCATTTTCTTTATTGATACAAGAAACAGGTTGAGGCTGGGTATGGTGGCTCACGCCTGTAATCCCAGCACTTTGGGAGGCCGAGGTGGGTGGATCACAAGGTCAAGAGATCGAGACCATCCTGGCTAACACGGTGAAACCCCGTCTCTACTAAAAATTTAAAAATTAGCCTGGCGTGGTGACGTTCGCCTGTAGTCCCAGCTACTCGGGAGGCTGAGGCAGGAGAATAGCGTGAACCTGGGAGGCGGAGCTTGCAGTGAGCGGAGATCGTGCTACTACAATCCAGCCTGGGCAATGAAGCGAGACTCCGTCTCAAAAAAAAAAAAGAAATGGGTTGAATTAAATTGCCTCTCAATTTTCCTTTCAGATCTAATATTCTGTGGTTCTTTATGGTTTTCTGTAAAACAGAAGAGATGGATTTAAGGTCGAGATCAGGCTTACATACTCTAAAATAAATGTAACAGTTGAAAGGTCAAAAGGAAATTTCACAGACTCCTTTAAGCATAATTCTTGTGCTTTCCCCCACTTACCCCAGGACTATGTGGTGAATGTAACGGAAGAATTTCTGGAGTTCATTTCAGATGGAGCACTGGCCATTGAAGTGTGGGGCCACCGGTGTGCTGGAAATGGCACCTCCATCTGGGAGGTTGATTCTCTTCATGCTAAGACAAGAACACTGCATGACAGGTTTGTACTTGGCTGTCAGTTTTAGATACAAGGTCAAGACTAGGACTTGAGCAGTCTCTGAACCTACTCTGGCCTAGGAGGCTGCTCATAAAAAAAAATAAAATCATTTAATAAAAAAAAAAGAATGGCCGGGCACGGTGGCTTACGCCTCTAATCCAGCACTTTGGGAGGCCGAGGCGGGCGGATCATGAGGTCAGGAGTTAGAGACCAGCCTGGCCAACATGGTGAAACCCTGTCTCTACTAAAAATACAAATATTAGCCAGGTATGGTGGCATGTGCCTATAATCCCAGCTACTCAGGAGGCTGAGGCAGGAGAATCTCTTGAACCCGGTAGGTGGAGGTTTCAGTGAGCCAAGATTGTGCCACTGCACTCCAGCCTGGGTGACAGAGTAAGACTCTGTCTCAAAAAAAAAGGATGGAAGGAAGGGAGGGAGGAAGAGAGGAAGGGAGGGAGAGAGGGAGGGAGGGAAGGAAGCCAGCCTTCTCTGATCCTATTTCCTCCTTTGTAAAATGAAAATGATGAAAGAAACTACCAGGTACTAAAGAAGGTCAATGGGGAATTGTATGTCCTATCAACAAATGAGACTGAAACAACTACATCTCTGTGGAGAAAAATCACCCTTGTTCTTGACTTCACACCATATACAAAAATTAATTTGAGATGAATCATATGTAACCTTAAATATGAAAGCTTAAACTATAACGCTTACAGAAGAACACAGGATTCTCAGATAGTCACATATTCTCAGAAAGGCCACAGAAAGTGCTAACCATGGAAGAAAAAAAATGTTTAAGTTGGACTTAATCAAAATTAAAAGCACGTGCTCATCAAAAGACCACTACGAAAATGAATACACAAGCCACAATCTGGAGGAAAACTGGCATTTTCTTGTCAAGTTGATCATTCGCCTCTTTTATGACCCGAGAATCCCACTCATAGGTATTTACCCAAGATAAATGAAAATGTCAGTCCTCAATAGAATTGTACACAATGTTCTTTTTTTTTTTTTTTTTTTTTTGAGTTGGAGTCTTACTCTGTCTCCCAGGCTGGAGTGTGCAGTGGTGCGATCTTAGCTCACTGCAGCCTCCACCTACTGGAGTGAGTCTGCTGGGCTTGCAGGCCTTTGCCACCATGCCTGGCTAATTTTTTTTTTTTTTTTTAGTAGAGACAGGGTTTCACCATGTTGGCCAGGCTAGTCTCGAACTCCTGACCTCAGGTGATCCACCCGCCTTGGCCTTCCAAAGTGCTGGAATTACAAGTGTGAGCTACCACACTCGGCCTGTGTGATGTTCATAGCATTGTTATTCATGGTATCCCCAAATTGCAAATAGCCCAAATATCCCTCAGTGAGTGAATGGGGATAAATTGGTATTATTCATAAATAAAGTATTACTCTGCATTAAAAAAGAAAAAAACTTTTTATCCATTTGGATGAATCTCAGAAACATTATGCTGAATGAAAGAAGCCAGATGCAAGAATACATAATGTGCGATTCCATTTATCTGGAGTTCTAGAACAGGCAAAACTAATCTCTGAGTTACACGGTTGCTACGGGAGTGTGGGGATTGAATGGGAATGGGTATGAGCAAACTTTCTGAGGTGATAGGGCAGGTTACACTCATATATGCATTTCTCAAAACTCATCTAACTCTATACTCAAGATGTGGACATTTCAGTCTACCTCAATAAAATAAATAGAAACAATATGACAGGGTGGTTTTGAGAGTTAAATAAGGAAGTAACTTATACGAGATACATGGCAGAGTGCCTAGCACATAGTAAGTGCTCAGTGAATGGTGGCTTATTACTGTTACTAACAGTGTGGCTGGACAGTGACGCTCTTGCTTGTTGGAATGTGTTTCTGCAGGTGGAATGAAGTAACGCGAAGAATAGAAATGTGGATCTCCATATTAGAATTGAATGAGTTAGGGGAGTATGCTGCCGTGGAACTTCATCAGGCAAAAGATGTCAACACAGGAGGCATCTTTCAACTTAGACAGGTACTGGGTTTGTTTTGGGTTTTTTTTTTTTTAATGTTTTCTCTCTCTTCCACTCTTACACATAGTTTCTGGGGATTTTCTAACTATTTGTATCTTTGTTCTCTAATCCTTTTCCCCTTCTTTATCCCCTTCCTCTTCATTATCATTCCTGGCACTTATACCCCTGCCCACCCTCTTCAGGGTCATTCCCGTAGAGTGCAAGTCACGGTGAAACCTGTGCAGCATTCAGGGACACTGCCGCTTATGGTTGAAGCCATCCTGTCGGTATCCATCGGTTGTGTGACTGCCAGGTCCACCAAACTCCAGAGAGGGCTGGACAGTTACCAGGTAAGACAAGCAGACTTGAAACAGTATTTAACAAAGCTTGGTTAATGCAGAAATAAGGCATTTAATGATCTCCGATGGGGACTTTTTTGCGAATATAACAGAACTCCTTGCCTTAACCGTAGATCTTCCCCCAGTTCACATTTCCATCCATTGCCTTTTTTCTAGCTTTAAAATCTGTTTGCTTAGTGTTGGTTAATAATAATTCTATTTATAAACACACACATCCTAATGCTATAGTAGTCATTTACTTTAGGCAGATTTTATTTTATATCTGGCCTAAAATATGTTGTATCTTTGGCATTACTGCTTGACCTGATCTACTTTTTGGGGTTTTTTTTGTATTTTTTTTTAAAGATAAGGTTTTGCTTTGTTGCCCAGGTTGGAGTACAGCGGTGTGATCATGGCTTACTGCAGCCTTGACCTCCTGGGCTCAAACAGTCCTCCCACCTCAGCTTCCTAAGTAGCTGGGACTACAGGCACATGTCACCACGCCCAGCTGATTCTTTTATTTTTTGTAGAGTAGGGTGTGTCATTCTGTTGCCGACACTGGTCTCAAATTCCTGGACTCAAGTGATCCTCCTGCCTCAGCCTCCCAAAGTGCAGGGATTGCAGGCATGAGCCACCATGCCTGACCACTTTTATTTATAGTGTAAAATTATTTTCATACATTGTCATAATAAACCAGCTCTTTGAAAGCTTTACTTCTTTTGTTAAAATTTGTCCTTATGATCATTTTTGTTCATTAAATCTTGATTTCCTAAACATTATATTCTCATTTTAAAAATAAAAAGATGAAAACCTCTAAGAACTGATCTAAGAATTGATCATATTATCAGTCAGAACTATTCAGTACTCCATGAAAAGAATCTCTAAAATTAGGAACTTGGCCAGGCACATTTGCTCATGCCTATAATCCCAGCACTTTGGGAGGCTGAGGTGGGAGGATCACTTGAGCCCAGGAGTTCGAGACCAGCCTGACCAACATGGCGAAACCCCGTCCCTACTAAAAATGCAAAAAATTAGCCAGGTGTGGTGGCACATGACTGTTGTCTCAGCTATTCAGGAGGCTGAGGCATGAGAATCATTTGAACCTGGGAGGCAGAGGCTGCAAGTGAGCCAAGATCACGCCACTGCACTCCAGCCTGGGTGACAGAGGAAGACTGTGTCTCAAAACAAATAAAATTAGGAACTTGTCCCCCAGTAGCCTAAAAAAAATGTGTGTGCTTCATTGAGTCCCCAGTTTACTACCAGATACGAATTAGGAACTGGGAAGAATCACTGTTAAATCTGCCTCCCTCACCGCCATATCTGTTTGGGAGCACTCTCCCTATCGTGCTGAGGAGAAAACATTTCTCCCCTGTGGAGTCTGAGTCTGAGCCCAGCCAATCTTGAGGATGTTTTCTTTTCTATCTCAGTTTCCTTTTGGCTTCATGGCTTTTAGGCAAAGATTTTTCTGAGAGCTAAAAGTCAGTGCACAGACTATTGGACTTCAAGGCAGTAATAGCTTTGTCAGACGCTGCCTTCCCTCTTCAAGCCCAAAATTCCCTCTAGCTTGGAACATCTGTCCACACTTCATTCAGAGTATGAGTGTGGGTGCAAGGACAGGGCTGCTGTGGTTTGGCAGTCTTCACCAGACTTTTCCTTGTGTGTGTGCAGCCTGTGGAGCAGGAAATGGGATTGTAGGTATTCTCATAGCAGTTCAGTCCTTCACTTAGCCATCAGCTTCTACGTGGCTGCACAGTTGAAAGAGAACACTAGACTTACAGTCAGAGACCTGGGTTCTTAAGTCTAGTTGAGCTTTACTAAATGGTTATCTTGGCTGTATAATTTAAACTTTGAGTTCCCCTTTTCTCCAAAATGATGAGGTAGACTTAATAATCCTGAGGTCCTTGTGGCTTAATAAATCTCTGATGCTCAATAAAACATTGAGTTTGTTTGCTTCAAACCGTGACCTGCAGTATATGGATCATCAGCTAACTAAATGTTCTCATTTGAGGAACATTCCAAAGATCAACTATTTGCTTCTTTTTTTTTTTTTTTTGGTGAGTCTCACTCTGTCACCCAGGCTGGGGTCCAGGAGAATGGCATGAACCCGGGAGGCGGAGCTTGCAGTGAGCAGAGATCGCACCACTGCACTCCAACCTGGGTGACAGAGCGAAAGTCCATCTCAAAGAATAAATAAATAAACAAAAATAAAAATAAATTTAAAGAAAAAACAGCATAGTGCTCTTAAAATTTGAACTGTAACTATTTTAAAGGCTTTTTTTTTTCTTTGCTGCCATGTTCCAGGTTATGTCTGTTAAGTGTTTTTGTTGTTGACACAGTGCTTTAGAATTATTCTGATGCAAAAAAAAAAAAAAAAAAAAAACAATTATTCTGATGCAGTAGCTGAAACCAATGCAGAATATGCTGATTTTGCAACAATTTTACATCGTGAATGCTTAGGCCAGTTTTCAGTTAATAGAACTACCTCCGTAGTTTAAAATTATGATAAATTAGGCCGGGCACGGTGGCTCACACCTGTAATCCCAGTACTTTGGGAGGCCGAGGCGGGCGGATCACGAGGTCAGGAGATCAAGACCATCCTGGCGAACATAGTGAAACCCTGTCTCTACTAAAAATACAAAAAAATTAGCCGGGCGTGGTGGCGGGCGCCTGTAGTCCCAGCTTCTCGGGAGGCTGAGGCAGGAGAATGGCGTGCACCCGGGAGGCGACAGAGCTTGCAGTGAGTGGAGATTGCGCCACTGCACTCCAGCCTGGGAGACAGAACGAGACCCTCTCTCAAAAAAAAAGAAAAAAAAAAAAATTATGATAAATTAGAGCTATTTGTTCTTTTATATTAATAGGAAGCATTAGTTCAAGATAAATTGCTTCGAGATTAGGATTGCATTTAATGAGTTAGTCACATAACTGATAATGATGGTTACCAAAATAAAAAAAAAAAAGTTCATTTTGAAGTATATATGAAAATAATTTTGACTATATTCTTAAAGCACTTTTGTAATCATAAATCTAAATTAAGGGATCCTAGATTCTTCTTTCTAAGGAAACTTTTTTCAGCCAAGACCCTTTTGTTTTCAACATGATTACTTTGTTTTGCCAAATGTTTTTGCCAAAATTTTTGCTTTATTTAGTTATTTTACAATGTTTCCTTGTGTTTGGGACAGTTGTGATTCTTTCAAGTGATTGTTATGGTCAGTAGAGAGCACTGACCGATCCTTATATTCCAAATAGTATGCTGTTGCTTTTATTTCAACAGTGTAGTACAGACCCTTGTATGTATATAGCCTGAGGTTGCCCCAGCTTTCCCCTGGATGATTGCATCAGGGAAGATGGCTGAGGTTGGAGACCTCAGATATGGCTTACAGGCTGCCATTATCTGTGTGATCGTAAGGTTAAATCATTTCATCCTTTAAGTCTTAGTTGCCTCGTTGCTCAAACTGAGATTGGGCAAGAGAATCTTCCTTGTAGTTTTGCTATTCTGTCTTCCTAAGCCTATCTCAAATCTCAGTCAAATAGTCTACCCCAAAATATGTATCAGCTGTCTGTATGACAGTGGTGTAAGGCCTGGCCCAATTATGTTGGTTCCTATCCCCAGCTAAGAGATTTCTTATTTTATTTAATTTTTTGTTTGTTTTTTGGAGACAAGGTCTTGCTCTGCTGCCCAGGCTGAGGTGGAGTGGTATAACCAGAGCTCACTGCAGCCTCCATCTCCTCCTCTCAAGTGATCATCCCACTTTAGTCTCCCAAGTAGCTGGGACTACAGGTGAACACTATCAAATCCAGCTAATTTAAAAAAATTTTTTTGTACAGATGGGGTCTTGCTATGTTGCCCAGGCAGGTCTCGAACTTCTAGCTTCAAGAGATCCTCCTGCCTCAGCCTTCCAAAGTGTTGGGATTACAGGCATGAGCCCAGCCAAATATTTGTTTCAATGATTCTTTATGTGAAAAATTCTTTATAGACAAGTGAATTAAATTTAGTATACCATTTTTGAGATTCAATTTAGTGTTTTATTGTGCTTATGTATGTGAGCTGTCCATTTTAATGTGTGTTAAGCTTAAAATAATTATTTTCCCTGTATGCTGTTTAAAAAACAAAATGCTTGTCCTTTGTGTTTATTTTTTCCTACCAGAGAGATGATGAGGATGGTGATGATATGGATAGTTATCAGGTATTGCTACTGCTGTCAATCCTGTGGCATGGGGCACAGCTACTGCTAATTGCCAGCATTCGCAAAGCAGAGGCCAGGGAGGAGGAAGGAGGGCCCTAGAGCGAGAATATGCAGTTTTTCACTTGCTTTTGATTTGCTTTATATGTATTCAAACACAATACTATTTCTATAGATTGCCTTGTCAGTTCAAAATTTGTAACCAAATACTGCCTTTTTGCTATGCCATCTTGATTTACTGTCTTATTGCTAAGCAATATCATTATCACTGTATTAAAATGGATGATCTGGAGACTGATTTGAGTAATAATAAAACTCCCGTCTCCTACAAATTAATTAATTAATTAAAAAATGGATGATCTTAAAATATTGTAGTTATCCATTCATAATCTTTTAGATAGACTCTTACCTTTCCTGTGCTAAAGTGCATTTTGCTCCTTACATCCAAGAGCTAGTATTGTTGTAATATGCCATTTTACTTCACAAGACTTTTGCTGAATAGGAAAATTGGAGACATTTTATGCACATAATTGTGTTTTGTTTAGCCAGCTTTCTTCTCTCATTTGGGTAACACTTAGTTCTCCATAACCTATAGAATTTAAATCTCAGCCTTTTCTGGTTGGAAATCTAGAAAAAATATATAGATGTACAAATTGAGATTATACCTAGTCAGCACTGACTGGCCTGATATCATGGAGTGTGGGGTTATGTATAAATTGTCAAAGCAGCAAACCAAGATGAAGCTTTCTGGGTTTGGTGCCCAGTCTTTGTACGGATTCTCCACACACGTCGTCAAATGATGTTTTCCCAGTGTGCCTTCCTACATGTAAAATGTGGGTACAGTGGCTGGGCGCAGTGGCTCACGCCTGTAATCCCAGCACTTTGGGAGGCCGAGGCGGGCAGATCACAAGGTCAGGAGTTCGAGACCAGCCTGGCCAACATGGTGAAACCCCGTCTTTAGTAAAAATACAAAAATTAGCTGGGCGTGGTGGCGCGCGCCTGTAATCCCAGCTACTTGGGAGGCTGAGGCAGGAGAATCGCTTAAACCTGGGAGGCAGAGGTTGCAGTGAGCCGTGACTGTGCCACTGCACTCCAGCCTGGGCAACAAGAGCGAAACTCTGTCTCGGGGAAAAAAATGTGGGTACACTGTTGGTAAAGTTTCAGAGGTAAAGGTATCTATTCTTGATGTAACGTCTTAAGTGTTACACTAGAATTAGGCAAGTCAAAGAGCATTTTTAATAGAATTGATGGATTTTCTTTCCCTACTCATAATTCCACTAAGAAGAACCTTTAAGGGAAATATCAGTATCCCCTTGAATCTCAGCAGTGCCATTGACTAACGTCCTGTGGCTGTTTGTGCGCTTCCTGGCAGGTTTTTCACAGTGCAGTCCAATGACTGCCTAGGGGATTTCTTAAAGCATGGCTGACTGCATGTTGGGGTTTGCATGGGAGATTTTTGGTTAGCCTCATGGTGGTGGTTGGAAGTAAAATGTTTGTGGCAAGTTTGAAAAGTTCTCTGCTGACCTACTCTTTGCATTTCAGAAAATCTGTGTTATCAGATGACCACTGAACTATGAGCTATGAAAATGCCTGTCATTTTCCATTCCATTTGTTGTTACTTGGTTTGGGCTGTGTTTGTGCTGTCCTTCTGTTGGGATCACAAATCCTGCAATGAATAGCTACGATTTAAATATACATACACTCATCGTAAAAAAAAAATCTGACAGCTGGTATAGTTTGAGCTTGTCTTGCTTTTAAAGTGTAATTATCCTTTTGGAGATCCAGGGGCTCTGATTTCTGGGCAACAGCATCCTTGATCAACATGCAGTGTTACTGAGGCCTCTCTGCTTTCTTGCATATTAATCACACAGCAATGTTCAATAGCTTTTCCTAATGAAAAATTTCCTAGTCAATTTAAACATCTTTTTAAAAAAGAAAGAAAGAAATCATTGTCTGTACAGTCTACAGGAAAGTATTTTCCCTCCCTGATGTTAGGAAGAAGACTTAAACTGCGTAAGGGAGAGGTGGTCAGATGCACTCATTAAACGACGAGAATACTTGGATGAACAGATAAAAAAAGTCAGCAATAAAACAGGTATGTGAGATGAAACTCTCTTTTGGGGAGTACCTTTTTCGCTTTTACACAATGGCAGTAGGTTGTTTTCTTCCCCTAACTGGACAGTAGTATCTTATTTTTGTTGTTGTCGTTGTTGTTTTAAGACAGGGTCTCACTCTGTCACCCAAGCTGGAGTGCAGTGGCAGGATCATATCTCACTGCAGCCTCTAACTCCTGACCTCAAGAGATCCTCCTGCCTCAGCCTCCTGACTAGCTGAGACTACAGGCGCAAGCTACCACACCCGGCTAATTTTTAAACGTTTTGTAGATGGGGGGGTCTCACTTTGTTGCCCAGGCTGGTCTCAAACTCCTGGACTCAAGTGATCCTCCCACTTCAGCCTCCCAAACTGCTAGAATTGCAGGTGTTAGCCACTGTACCCAGCCTGTTTAGTTTTGTGAACTTGTAACAGTTATAGACATTAGGCAATCATATTATACATTGTTGGTTTAAGAAGCCTCCAAATTTGAAAGTGATACATTTTCCTAAAACTCTGAGTTATCTCATAAAACTGTGACATTAAATGTCAAATTCAAATTTCATTTTGATGAACACACTGTGATAAATACCAGTATGTCAATACAAAGTACTTTAGGCACCAGGACCTAGGACATACAGCAACTGAATGAGCAGGTCAGCACCTATCCACTGTTGGGCCATTGCCATGCACTCCGCTGGTTCAGGGTGGCCCCTGCAGCTCCATTCACTGCCACCCACCTCCAAGGGTGCAGCTTGCTTATGCTAGCAGTAACCACTTGGATTCTATAGTAGAAATATGCACTTAAAATCCTTAGTCTCTCATCCAGATATCATGGTCCACTCACGTGGTTGGTTCTGCAGCAAAGAACACACACATCATGCATGTTAATCCATTTCATGTAGAAGCTAGCGGAAAGTCTCCCTCAGGAAAACACCTTGGCTCGACATGTGGTGTTGCCTTGTGTATGTGCTCAGGCTGCTAATGAAAACTCACTTTGACTGTACCCAGGGAGCCCCAGAGTTGAATTATGAATAAGCGGATTTCAAAGTGTATCAAATAAAATCCCATTCATGGTAAGCCTCAAGGAAAATAAAGGTGATTTTACAGAGTAAGGAATATGGTGGGTTTTTTATTTTTTATTTATTTATTTATTTTTTTGAGACAGAGTCTCGCTCTGTCGCCCAGGCTGGAATGCAGTGGCACGATCTTGGCTCACTGCAACCTCCTCCTCCCGGGTTCAAGTGATTCTCCTGTCTCAGCCTCCTGAGTAGCTGGGACTACAGGTGCCCGCCACCACACCCGGCTAATTTTTGTATTTTTAGTGGAGACAGGGTTTTACCATATTGTTCAGGCTGGTTTCGAACTCCTGACCTCAGGAGATCTGCCCACCTCGGCCACCCAAAGTACTGGGGTTACAGCCGTGAGCCACCATGCCCAGCCTGTGGTGTTTTTTAATCCTCTGTCTTTGTAACATCATGTATAGTTCTGTAAAGCAGTGTCACGTCCATATTTCATTTGATCCTTCCAGCAAGTACATGAAGTAGACATGACTTCTTTTTATCCCTGTTTGACAGGTTAGGGAGACTCATCTGTTGGATAACTTCCCCAAGTTACAGAACCAGCAAAATAACCTAAGTCTCGTAATTGCTTTTCCAATGCCCTTTCTGCTATTTCTGGCTTATGGTTCCTTAAATTGGTGTCACAGCCCCTCTCAGCTCCCTATACATGCTCTTGCTTGAACTTCAAAAACTCAAATCCATTTTAGGGACATAGTGGATGTTTAAGCCACTTACAGATAGCACTGAATGAAATCTCTTTATTGTTTTGTTTGCTTGTTTTTTGAGACAGGGTCGCTTGTCTGTTTTCCAGGCTTTAGTACAGTGATGTGATGATAGCTCACTGTAGCCTTGAATTCCCAGACTCAAGTGATCTTCCCACCTCAGCTGCCCGAGTATCTGGGACTACAGGCCTGCGTGCCGCCACCCTGCCCAACTATTGCTTTTTTTTTTTTTTGGTAGGGATGGGGTCTCACTATGTTGCCCAGGCCAAAATCTGTTCCTTATAAATTGAGAAGTCATACTTTCTCTCTTGTTGGCATTGATCCCCTCATTTTTTTCTGCAGAGAAAACAGACGACGATGTGGAGCGGGAAGCCCAGCTTGTGGAGCAGTGGGTAGGGCTGACCGAGGAAAGGAATGCTGTACTGGTGCCGGCCCCAGGCAGTGGGATTCCTGGGGCACCTGCCGACTGGTAAGGCTGCCCTCCCTTCTGTGCAGACCGAGGGAGATGAAATGGTATAGGTCGCCTGTGGCAAGAGCCATGCAAGAGACTTTCCAGGATTGTCACAGAAAATGCCAACCAGCTGAACTGCTTAGGGAATGTCCACTCATCTCTAGTGCTTCCATCCCTTTTTTTCTTCCCCATTGAAGCCAACTTTCTCCCACAGGAAGCCAGAGAGCATTGATTACCTGGCCAGGAATCACATATCCCACTCCTCTATTCCTCTGCATAAGCAACTTGGACATTGTTCCCTGATCTCCAGAAACTCTTTTATCTTGGCTGGAAAGTATTTGAAGAGGGCAGAAAATACATTAGTGGAGCTGTCTTTTTGGTAGTACTGTGAGAATTAGAGATAATGTATATAAAATACCTTATATATGATAATATTATCTTATATATTATAATGTGTATAAAATACTTTTCATACCCATTTGTTAAATCCTAGCTGATGCTGCTTATTCTCATTCTCATTTTTATTATTATATATCCAGGGCATTTAAGAGAAATCAGATTCCTTTTGAACACAGAATGTACATGCCCAGATAGTCTTTTTTGAACAGGCATAGGAACATTAGTGACAATACCTGCATCTCTAATGATAAACGGAAATATAATCAATTTCGTGGTCTGTTTTCTGAAACTAGAAACTGAATCTGCAGGCACATAATTTATAACCTGATGTTTCTCCCTGCAGTTCCTGCTGTTATGCTGGAATCCTGTAGGTCTCTTGCAGTAATTCTACCAGCCACTTCTTATGGACAGCCTGCTCACCCCAATCTTGTTCTGGCCCTCAAAACCCTCTCTAGACAGTTCTTCTCCCTACTTCAGTCTCTCTGGTGTAAAGTGTTTTGAAACTTCAGATCATCTTGAGTGTTTGTAACATGTAGGCCTGGGTGTCATCCCTAGTTATTTTGATTCAGAAGAGAAAGGAAGGACCTGCGACTCTTCTTTTTTTATTTTTTTAAGTAAGAATTTGCTTTTTTTTTTTGAGACGGAGTCTCACTCTGTCGCTGAGATCTCCACTCACTGCAAGCTCCGCCTCCCGGGTTCACGTCATTCTCCTGCCTCAGCCTCCCAAGTAGCTGGGACTACAGGCGCCCGCCACCGTGCCCGGCTAATTTTTATATTTTTAGTAGAGACGGGGTTTCACCGTGTTCGCCAGGATGGTCTCGATCTCCTGACCTCGTGATCCGCCCATCTTGGCCTCCCAAAGTGCTGGGATTACAGGCGTGAGCCACCGCGCCCAGCCAGGAATTTGCATTTCTAAAGGGACTCTTCACTTTCAGAGGCCTCTGAGGCGGTTCTATTGCAGCTGGGCAAGTTGGGGTTTTTTGTTTGTTTTTTATTTTTTTGAGGCAGGGTCTGTTTCCCAGGCTGGAGTACAGTGGCACGATCTCAGTGCACTGCAACCTCCATCTCCCAGGTTCAAGCCATCCTCCCACCTCCCAAGTAGCTGGGACCACAGGCTTGTACCACCACACCCAACTAGTGTTTTTTGTTGTCTTTTTTTTATTATAGAGACAAGGTCTCCCTGTGTTGCCCAGACTGGTCTTGAACTCCTGTCCTCAAACCATCCTCCTGCCTTGGCCTCCCAAAGTGCTGGGATTACAGGCATGAGCCACCGCGCCCATCCTTGGTCCAGTTTTTGATAAAACACTGCTTGGTCTCTTCTGTACACAACCCTACCTCCTTTCACACATCTTTCATTCTATCCTCCTTTCAGCTTTTGTTTACTTCTTCTAGGCTCTGATCCTGTCCCGTTACCACCCTAATAACATCCCCCTTCCCTTTCCCTCTCACGGGAATTATTTTTAGAAAGGCGAAAAATAATCTTTGTTTCAATTAATTGCATGTAACTCTTATAACTGGAAGTTCTTTTGTGTAAGTCATATAATTCCCATGATTTATGTCTACAGGGAAGTCAAGAAATATGAAAGTATTTCATTAGTGGAAACTGCATCTCCACCATGGTTCTCTTTGCTTCCACGGCTCTGCGGTGTTTTATCAGCTAACAAGATGTAAAATACATATTTTGTTATGATTAAATGTTGTTATTAAATTTAGGATCCCACCTCCTGGAATGGAAACCCACATACCAGTTCTTTTCCTCGATTTGAATGGTAAGTAGACACTTAAAGTCACAGGGATTATTGTATTTAATTCAGGTTTGTAATCTATTCAGACTCACCTTATTTTGATCCTTAAATCACTCTTCTAATCATTCATGTGCCAAATTAGGTGACATTTTTGTTCTAATTAAATGTACGTAAGCATGATTATGTGGATAATTTAAAAAAGAGCACGTAGGGTGATTGAGAACTGCATACAAGAGCATTAACACAGTTGCTCTGAAACAGCGGACATAGAAATTACCCTGGAAAGTAATCACCCCCAGAGATTCTGAGTCTTTAGGCTTGGCAAGGGCCTATTAGTCTGCATTTCTGACTAGTGTTCTTAACTCTCCTCAAACAGTTTTGATGGCAGAAATGATCACACTATAACGCTGCCTTCAGGGTTGTCCTTCATACTGCAATTACATGGAACCTGGGCAAGTCTAGAACAATGGTTTCCAACGTGCTTTAGCGGAGCAATCCTTTTCTAGATGAAATATTAACCGGAACCCCACGTGTAGAAAACAACCGCAGAGCTGCTGAGTTTGCGGTGGGCAAGCTCCTGGTAGATCCTTTGGCAGGGCCCTAGGGCTCCTCAAAACACAGCCTGAAAACCTCTGTTCTAGAAGGAAGCCCACTAATGGATGGAAGACACAGGGAGGGTGGCTTTGGCTCTTCACGTGAAGAATTTTTTCTTTTTAAAGCCTAGATGTTGAATGTATGCCTCATAAGATAGTGAGTTCTCTGTCTTGGGAGGTATATAAACAAAGACTAGTTGGCCATTTACAGAGATTTGTGAAGGGTAAACCCCATATTGGATAGGACGTTGGAAGAAGATAATCTTCATATTTCTCCCAGTGCTCAGAACTTTGATTTAAATAGGTAATTTAACTGCTAAAATCTCTAATTTATAGTAAGTTATTAAGTAGGATAACAAACCTAACAGTTTACAGGAGGAATTGACATCAGAAAGCAGCAAAATTCTAAGATTTGTTTTGTTTAGGTTTTTTTGAGACAGAGTCTCACTCTGTCACCCAGGCTGGAGTGCAGTGGCGTGATCTCAGCTCACTGCAACCTCCGCCTCCTGTGTTCAAGCAATTTTCTGCTTCAGCCTCCCATGTAGCTGGGATTACAGGCACCCACGACCACGCCCGGCCAATTTTTGTATTTTTAATAGAGACGGGGTTTCACCATCTTGGCCAGGCTTGTCTTACACTCCTGACCTTGTGATCCACCCACCTTGGCCTCCCAAAGTTCTGGGATTACAGGCGTGAGCCACCGCGCCCAGCCTCCAAGGTGTGTTTAATGAATATATTTGTACCTAGGACAACAATAGAATATAGTCATTCCGTCTTATAGGAGACTCACAAGGCAACTTTTTGGCTCCTATTGTATTTTTAAAGAATAAAAGCGGCCAGGCGCGTTGGCTCATGCCTGTAATCCCAGCACTTTGGGAGGCTGAGACAGGTGGATCACGAGTTCAAGAGATGGAGACCATCGTGGCCAATGTGGTGAAACCCCATCTCTACTAAAAATACAAAAATTAGCTGGGCGTGGTGGTGCACACCTGTAGTCCCAGCTACTTGGGAAGCTGAGGCAGGAGAATCGCTTGAACTTGGGAGGCGGAGGTTGCAGTGAGCTGAGATTGCGCCACTGCACTCCAACCTGGGCGACAGAGTGAGACTCTGTCTCAAAATAAAAAAGAATAAAAGCTGTGGGGCATGGTGAGCTCGTGCCTGTAATCCCAGGGCTTTGGGAGGCCAAGGCAGGAGGACTGCTTGAGTCCAGGAGTTGGAGACCAGCCTGGGCAACAAAGCTGGACTGCATCCCTACAAAAAATTTTACAGAGTAGCCAGGCATAGTGGTGTGTACCTGCAGTACTAGCTACTCAGGAGGCTGAGGCGGGAGGATCTCTTGAGCCCAGAAGTTCAAGGCTGCAGTGAGCTATGATCAGGCCATGCACTCAAGCATCAGCAACAGAGCAAGACCTTGTCTCAAAAAAAAGCCAAGTACAGTGGCTCACAACTGTAATCCCAGCATGTCGGGAAGCCAAGGCAGGAAGATGCATTGAGTCTAGGAGTTCAAGACCAGACTGGACAACATAGTAAGACCTCATCTCTATTAAACATAATAATTTTTAAAAAAGAAAAAAATCTGTTGTGAGTCTTGGAGTCTCTATTTCAGCTGCAGGATAAGGAATGAAAGAAAAAGTAAAGATGTGTTATGTGTAAACGTCAACTGTAGGCTGGGCGCAGTGGCTCACGCCTGTAATCCCAGCACTTTGGGAGGCCGAGGCGGGTGGATCACGAGGTCAGGAGATCGAGACCATCCTGGCTAACACGGTGAAACCTCGTCTCTACTAAAAAAATACAAAAAAAAAATTAGCCGGGCATGGTAGTGGGCACCTGTAGTCCCAGCTACTCGGGAGGCTGAGGCAAGAGAATGGTGTGAACCCTGGAGGTGAAGCTTGCAGTGAGCCGAGATCACGCCACCGCACTCCAGCCTGGGCAACACAGCAAGACTCCGTCTCAAAAACAAAACAAAACAAAACAAAAAAAACATCAACTGTAAAAAGCATATATTTAAATTTTTGGTGTTTGCTGAAAAACTGACTTTCCCCTACTGTTTTTTCTGTGCCCCTGATGTGGTTAGCGGATGACCTCAGTGCCAATGAGCAGCTTGTCGGCCCCCATGCGTCCGGCGTGAACTCCATTCTGCCCAAGGAGCATGGCAGCCAATTTTTCTACCTGCCCATCATAAAGCACAGTGATGATGAGGTAATTCACCTCCATGTTTCTCTTAAAAGGCTTCAGATTAGCACACAAGCCTGTGGGCCTGCTTTCCCACTCAACTGCTATAGTTTGCTTTGGGGAGAAAGACTGGGGCCTTTAAAAAACAGAACATTTGTGTTGCTGTTTTAAAAAGGTGAGGAAAGAAATATATTTGATTACAGTGATTTGAATTTATTTTCTTTCTCTTGTATGCCCTGTAAAACTGCTACGGCTGACTTGTGTCTTGTTTCCGTCTCCTCATCATTCCCTCACTCGTAGGTTTCAGCCACAGCCTCTTGGGATTCCTCGGTGCATGATTCTGTTCACTTGAATAGGGTCACACCACAGAATGAAAGGATTTACCTAATTGTGAAAACCACAGTTCAACTCAGCCACCCTGCTGCTATGGAGTTAGTATTACGAAAACGGATTGCAGCCAATATTTACAACAAACAGGTAATAACAGGGCCTGATTCTGCCATTCTGGCTCTGAGCTCAAAGTTTTTTCCCCCTATCTAGCACAAAGCAGTGTTTTTTGGTGCTAATGTAGGGGATGTGGCAAAACATGACCATCCTGGCCGAGTTAGAGTCTGATTCTCATTTATCCAAGATAGTGGGCATTAGGATAGCAGAGGTCAATGTCATCCAGTAAGGGCATTTTCACCTTGACTGATTGGAGAGGTATAATCCTACCAGGCGGTGAAGCTGTGATATTTCACTGTTTGAAAAGTAGAAAAACGGAGGCTGAGAGATGAAGTGCCAGGTCCAGGCAGGTGAGTGACAACACCAGGACAAAAGGCAGACTCCAAACAAATCCCTATCCTACTGCTTTGACGGATGCCGTCTCAGAGGTTCTGTCAGTGAAACTGATCCTCTCCAGTGTTGTTGTAGCCATCTCAGGAAAGACTGATTAAACCCTGGAGAGATCACAGGAAGGCAGCAGATGGGAGAGAGAAGCAACCACAGAAATCCTGAACATGCTACAGATTCTGTAGTCGAATTCCCAACTAACAGCTGGACGTTAGTGTCCCTTGGGGTTGGAGACAGGGATTCTTAGCTTCAGTTTTTTTCTGTTGTATGCTGATTATTGTGCATATCAAAAACATATTAACTGGTAATGCTTTTACAATTTGTAAAATACGAAATAACTTACCTTTGTTACATAGCTTAATCCAGCTTTTTTTTTTTTTTCCTACCAGAGTTTCACGCAGAGTTTGAAGAGGAGAATATCCCTGAAAAATATTTTTTATTCCTGTGGTGTAACCTATGAAATAGTATCCAATATACCAAAGGTAAAATATATGCTACTTTAGGCCGGGCGCGGTGGCTCATGTCTGTAATCCCAGCACTTTGAGAGGCCGAGGCAGGTGGATCATCTGAGGTCGGGAGTTCAAGACCAGCCTGACCAACATGGAGAAATCGTGTCTCTACTAAACATACAAAATTAGCCGGGTGTGGTGGCACATGCCGTAATCCCAGCTACTCAGGAAGGCTGAGACAGGAGAATCGCTTGAACTTGGGAGGCAGAGGTTGTGGTGAGCTGAGATCGCGCCTTTGCACTTCAGTCTGGGCAACAAGAGCGAAACTCTGTCTCAAAAAAAAAAAAAAATTATATATATTAAAAAATATCAATATCTAAATAATGGAGAATGTGTTCCTTCTCCAGACTTCTAAAACATTTTCTTACCACACTTTGGATGAAAACATTGTTCACATCAAAGTATTGTCATTTCCTTCCTGTCCTTTTAGGCAACTGAGGAGATAGAAGACCGGGAAACGCTGGCTCTCCTGGCAGCAAGGAGTGAAAACGAAGGCACGTCAGATGGGGAGACGTACATTGAGAAGTACACTCGAGGCGTGCTGCAGGTGGAAAACATTCTGAGTCTTGAACGGCTCCGGCAGGCAAGTAACTGAATATCTGGACCGAGAATGAAATCACCAGCCTTCACCCCCAGTGGACAGATACGAATTTACTTACCAAACACCTCACTAAATCTATCAGAGAAGGAGCACTTGAGCCATCTCCGTTGAAAGGACTCTGGCAAAATAGTAACCAAAATAAAAATAGTGACTAACTTTTATTGAATACTCCCTACTTGCCAAGCACTGAGCCTGAGCAATTTAGATATATTATTTCATTTAATCTTCAAGATAACCCCCTGAGGTAAGTACTGTTGAAATCCCCATTTTCAAATGACAGAATTGAGGCTGACAGAAGTTAGCTAGCTCACCCATGGTTCCACAGCTAGGAAGGGGTACAAAGTCAGATGTAAAGCCAAACAGCTTGACTCCAAAGGGCATATGCTTAACCACAGACTATTACTGTCTCCCTGATGTTTAGACCTGCGTTAACTTTTGAGGTGACAACAGGACATTCAAGAGAAAATAATCCACTAAGTAATGGAACTATAAGACAAGATATGTCATTTCATAGGAGCAGTAGTTGACATTATGGGGGGTGGGTGTTGATTAATAGGAGGAATGTAATTGGCATCTGTCAGAAACATCTTCCCTTAGTGGAAATCCCACCTGAATTGCTGCATGAACAAATACAAACAGCATCACACTTCATTGTCATTTTGCAAATTAGATATATGGTTAGAGGTACCTCTTCTACGTTTCTCTGTCCACCTGTATAAAAATTTCACAACATAAATATCTTTCATTCTGCTGTTTTCCTGGTTTTATTTACTTGTTTGTTTATTTTTGAGACAGAATCTTGCTCTGTCGCACAGGCTGGAGTGCAGTGGCGCGATCTCAGCTCACTGCAACCTCTGCCTCCCAGGTTCAAGCAATTGTAGTGCCTGAGCCTTCCAGAGAGATGGAACCACAGACACCCGCCACCACGCCCAGCTAATTTTTGTATTTTTTAGTAGAGACGGGGTTTTACCATGTTGGCCAGCTGGTCTCAAACTCCTGTCTGTGATCCACCTGCCTCAGTGATCCACCTGCCTCAGCCTCCCCAAGTGCTGGAATTACAGACATGAACCACCACGCCCTGCAGTTTTATTTATCTTAAAAAAATGTTTTTGAGGCCAGGCGCGATAGTGCACGCCTATAATCCCAGCACTTTGGGAGGCTGAGGCAGGTGGATCACGAGGTCAGGAGTTTGAGATCAGCCTGACCAACATGGTGAAACCCCATCTCTACTAAAAATACAAAAATAAGCTGGGTGTGGTGGCGTGCACCTCTAATCCCAGCTACTCAGGAGGTTGAGGCAGGAGAATTGCTTGAATCTGGGAGGCAGAGGTTGCAGTAAGCCGAGACTGCGCCACTGCACTCCAGCCTGAGCAACAGAGCGAGACTCTGTCTCAAAAAAGAAAGTTTTTGATAAATTGCTAAGCAAATGGGTAAAATAATATTTCAGTTTTATAAATGTGTGTGTATATAGAACTGATATAGTCTATATTTAAATCTATAAATAAACATATGTTACTTTTATGATTAGAATAAAACATAAAGTAATGGCCGGGTGCGGTGGCTCATGCCTGTAATACTAACACTTTGGGAGTCCGATGTGGGCAGACTGCCTGAGCTCAGGAGTTCGAGACCAGCCTGGGCAACACAGTGAAACCTCGTCTCTACTAAAATACAAAAAAAAAAAAAAAAAATTAGCCAAGTGTGGTGGTGTGCACCTGTAGTCCCAGCTACTCGGGAGGCTGAGGCAGGAGAATTGCTCAAACCTGGGAGGCGGAGGTTTCAGTGAGCTGAGATCGCATCACTGCACTCCAGCCTGGGCAACAGAGTGAGACTCCATCTCTGGAAGAAAAAAAAAAAAAAGTGTTATTTTCAAATTCATTGTGTTTTACATGTTTTTCGCGCCGTCTAGTCAGTCAAGGAAGTTCACTTTCCACAAGCTCGCACATTTCGGGGAGGAGCCTCAGTTACAGTTTCTAAAATGTTCATGAACGTCAATTGCATTTCCTCTGGCCTATAGGATTTCTGCGCCTATTGTGTAGTCATTCTCAGGCTCGTGGGTTGTGGTGGTGTATAGGTGTGGGTTCACTACAGTGTCAAGTTAGATTGCTTTATGGCCCTGGTTGGGCACCCGAAGTGTAGCCTGCTTCTCTGTACAGGACGGCACACCAGGGAGCTACAGTTGTCTAAGACTGAAGCCATGTTGTGTCAATCCTTGTGAATTCTGTTCAGCAAGTTATCTCCTTGAAAAAAGTTCCTAAGATATAAATTGAGTTTAGTTGGTTAAGAGATGGTGGAGTCAGCTATGAATCCTGGCAGCTGAGTCCCCTGGATGCGGCTGTGCCAGGGTCAGCTGCATGTAGGCCACTCTTGGAGTGCCTAGTTGTTCCTTTGACCATGTTTGATTATCTTTTTTCACCAGTTGCTTCTAGAAAATCACAAAATTGACAAAATGATTCTAGCAGGGGGGCACTGTCACAGAGACAGATTAGTGCATGGGACCCTTCAAAGCAGCGCTCCCAGAAGCAGCTGAGTAGAATAAGGTCCTTTCCAGGGAAAACCACCAGGCTCTATTTGCCTTCCTGTTCTCCCAGAATTGCCAGAAAATTATTTTAAAACATGTGATGACCACTTACAAAAATTGTCCTCCAGTGGGCCTACAGAGCAAGTCCCAAGTGAATTTTATCACACAGATTACTTCTCTGACCACAATGCGTTTATTAGTAAATTAGATAGGAGAGACTCAGTGTAGTTGTAAATTGGAAAAACTCGCTTTTCAGTGAACTCATCTCTCAAAGAAAGAAATTATGATGGAAATTGAGGCATGTATTTATCAACATAAATGTGAGAATAAAGTGGTACTAGATCAATGTTTTGAGATGCAGTTAAAGTGGTACTTAGACATTATTAGCCCTAAATTCCCTATAATTCTGTATAAAAGCAGAATACTAGAACAGTAGAAAAAAATGGAGAGAATGAGGCTACTATTAGGAAATTTATAGCTCTTATATTAAAGAACAGAGTGAAAAAGAATTAGGTAAACATCTAGCTTAAAAAGTAAAGAAGACCGGGCGTGGTGGCTCACGCTTGTAATCCAGCACTTCGGGAGGCTAAGGTGGGCAGATCACCTGAGGTCAGGAGTTCGAGACCAGCCTGACCAACATGGAGAAACCCCGTCTCTACTAAAATACAAAATTAGCCAGGCATGGTGGCACCTGCCTGTAATTCAGCTGCTCGGGAGGCTGAGGCAGGAGAATCACTTGAACCCGGGAGCGGAGGTTGCGGTGAACCGAATTACTGTCCTTGGCACTCCAGCCTGGGCAACAAGAGCGAAACTCTGTCTCAAAAAAAAAAAATTAAAAGAAAAACTACTTATGAAGTAATCTAAAAAAAACAGGTTTTTTCCAACCTCAATCTGATCAAGACTTTAGATTTCTTTGGGAAGCCAAGGTGAGAGGATTGCTTGAGGCCAGGAATTCGAGACCAGCCTGGGCAACATAGCAAGACCTCATAACCTAATGTTATGCCAATAAATGTAAAAACTTAAATAAAGTGGAATGTCCTGTAAAAACTGAATCAAGAATAAATAGAAAACCTGAATACAGCTATCACCAAAAAGAAGGACTATACTGAAATAGTGACTATGACTATGCTCATTGATGAGAATTCACAGTATCAAAAAATTGGCATGTCCTTAAGCTAATCATTCTCAACAGAATTTTTTGTAAGATTTGATAAACTGATTCTAAAACCTGTATGGAAAAGCAGTCAAAATATACTCATACTTTATGTACAACCCCGAGATTTCATCCCTTAGATATATACTCTAGAGATTCTCATAAATATACAGGTTGTATTTAGAACTAAATGATACTAAAAATAGTACACATATCAATACTTGTCTAGACTATTGAATAAGACTATATGTAGTAAGATACCACTTATGTGAAGTATAAAATATGCAAAATAGAAATTTCACCATGGCATACCGTGGCCAGGGCCAGAAAGTACAGAAGGTTATGGTGCAGCCCATCAACCTCATCTTCAGATACTTACAAAATAGATCGCGGATTCAGGTGTGGCTCTACGAGCAAGTGAATATGTGGATAGAAGGCTGTATCATTGGTTTTGATGAGTATATGAACCTTGTATTAGATGATGCAGAAGAGATTCATTCTAAAACAAAGTCAAGAAAACAACTGGGTGGGATCATGCTGAAAGGAGATAATATACTCTGCTACAAAGTGTCTCTAACTAGAAATGATCAATGAAGTGAGAAATTGTTGAGAAGAATACAGTTTGTTTTTAGATGTCCTTTGTCTAATATGAACATTTATTCATATTGTTTTGATTACCCTTGTGTTATACAAGATGGCAATAAATGCTGTGGGATTGTTTGTGTTAAAAAAATATAAATAAATAAATAAAAAATAAATAAAATATGCAAAATAATATTAACTATTGGTTATGAGTATATACACATACAATTATATAAAACTCGTATGGGAAAAATAAACCCCAAATTGAGAGTATTCACTACTCCTAGAGAGGGAAGAAAGAGGAGGGAAAGAATGAAGACTACAGGCTTCAACTGTGACATTCTTTTTCTTTATATAAAAAAAAAATTATATTAAATATATAAACCATATTGCTAAAACCATTCTTCTCTTATAGGTCTCTTCCAGCCGACCAGACCTTTCTGGCTTTGATGAAGATGATAAGGTATGCACCTATGGGCATGGCTGGGTTTTCAGCAGAATCTCAGTCTGGAAAGCTGTGGGATCTTGGTGTGTTTAAAATCTCTGGGCCTTACCTGGTTGATCCTGTCATTTAAAAAAAAAAAAGAAAGAAAGAAAAAGAAAAATCTCTGGGCTTCCCATCTTAATTGTAAGCAAATAACTCTCTCCACAACTCCATTCCCAGGTTCAAATACTTGATGTGGTATTGCTATGCACTTTTTTTTTTTTTTTGAGACAGAGTTTCACTCTTCTTGCCCAGGCTGGAGTGCAGTGGCACGATTTTGGCGCACTGTAACTTCCACCTCCCTGGTTCAAGTGGTTCTCCTGCCTCAGCCTCCCAAGTAGCTGGGATTATAGTGGTTTGCCACCACACCTGGCTAATTTTGTATTTTTAGTAGAGATGGGGTTTCGCCATGTTGGCCAGGCTGGTCTCGAACTTCTGACCTCAGGTGATTGATGCGCCTTGGCCTCCCAAAGTGTTGGGATTACAGGCGTGAGCCACCATGCCCAGCTAATTGCTACGCACTTTCAGTATTACGTTGTTACTTACCATGATAAGTTCCATACCAGGACAGTACCACACATAATTGAATAAATATCTCTGTGTTTGTGGGTTTAACTCTAAATGATTGGAGAAGATGTTACATCCACCATAGCATAATCAAAATTATTTCAAATGGATAAAACGAGATTTAAAATTAAGGACAGATTGCAACATTATCTTATTCAACAAATATTTCTTGAATGCATATTATATATGAGTTACTGTGCTAGAGACTAGATCCAAAAGGTATAAGCACAGATTTATGTCCTTAAGAAGTTTAACATTTAGTCCTCAGAGGCAATCAACTTCTGAGAAGTTGAAATAAGATTAAGTAAGCTCGTATGATATGCCAGAGTTTTCTCTATTTTGTATATCAATACTTTATGCCTATTTGAAACTTCTAAATCTCAAATATAGGTAGAGTAACCACACTGCCAAATTTGCCTTGGACAGTCCCAGCTGTGCCTGCTACCTAGGCAGAATTACTGATGGAACAGTTGTCCTCTGAGAGTGTTTCAATTTGGTCATTAAATTACCAAGTCACTCTGGATATATGCCACATTGCTCAAAGTGACTACCTTTGGGGAGGAAGGAAGATGAATGGGACCAAAAGATTACACTACATTTGTAATAATTTTATTAAACCTTTAAGCAAATATAATAAAATACTAACGTTTACTCACTCTGGGTATACCTTGGGTATGACAGTATTTTTTACAATATTCAGCCCTTTTCTGTATATTTGACATATTTCATAATAAAAATAAGAGCATATACTGCCATTAAAAAAAATAGAAGAAACTCCAACCTGGGCTTTGTTTCTCATTTTAGAGTGACTCAATTACAGTTAACTCGTATTTTTACCTTGTAGGGTTGGCCAGAGAACCAGTTGGACATGTCTGACTACAGCTCCAGTTACCAAGATGTAGCATGTTATGGAACTTTACCCAGGGATTCTCCTCGAAGGAATAAAGAAGGCAGTGGTGAGATTATTTTGCAGTGATATTTCTTTGTAATTACTTAGAAAAAGCGTGAAAAGTGTCTTTCATTAATGGCATATAATAAGGTATGGAGCTGATATTCTAGTTAACTAAATGATTCAAAACTGTCTTATTGAATGGAACATATCACGTTCACTTATTTATTTTTGTTTTGTATCCAACATATCACTCAAATAGGCTTTTTGTATGTCACTTTAGAACTTCCAAATCATTTTTCATATATCATTTCCTGACTTTGAAGTCCAGTTTTGAGACACACGCAAATCCTATTATTTTCTACCAGAAGAATATCCAGCTCTGTCATGTTTGTGTACTGAAAGGAATTTTTAAAAGAACATAACTTTGATTCATAAAGCAGTTTTCAAAAATGATACCCAAAATGAGTTTGATTCATGGTAACATTATTACCTAAATTATGTAGTCTACCAGTGCCTTAATGGGAACTGTATTCTTTGGCCATATGTATCAGTTCTATTACCTTATACCTTATATCAGTAGGTAAAATATAAGGTGTATTCGCCATTATACTAGCAAATTGGAAAGGGAGGAAAGAGGCCAAAGAGATAAGAAATGATACAAGCAAGAAAGAATTGTCCTCTCTTAGTCATATAGAGCAGGGTGGCCCAATGGGGGAGAAAAAAGAGGCTCGCAAGAAAATTTACACAGTATTAATTCATTGAGTACTTATTGAGCCTCTACTTTCTGTCTTAAAATATAATTATGGAAATAAGATACACAGAAAATAAGATGTTAAATGATAAGGTGCCAAAATGAACATGCAGATAATAAGGGCTGTGAGAATTCAGAGAAATGGAAAATCAGCATGAGCTGAAATTGGTCTGGTTAGTGGTGCTTAAGCTGGATCTTGAAAAGAGTGAAGAAATTTGGTATCTCACCTTGTTCACACACACTAGCACTTTAGTAACTCTTTGTGACTTCACAGATTTATCTCTATTCTTGCCTACATCTGTTCCATAGTTTTTTGGGTTTTTTTGTTTGTTTTTTTTTTTGGTTTTTTGTTTTTGTTTTTAGACAGGGTCTCTCTCTCTCTTGCCCAGTCTGGAGTGCAGTGGCACCGCTATAACTCACTGCAGCCTCAACCCCTGGGGCTCAAGCGATCTTCTTGCCTCAACCTCCTGAGTAGCAAGTCCAGCAGGTGCACGCCACCATGCCTGGCTATCTGTTTATTTATTTTTTTACAGACTGGTCTCCCTGTGTTGCACAGGGTGGGCGTACCTCTGTTTTAATGTTTAGCCAAATATTAGCCTATGAATTTCATTGTTCTCCTAGATATTCCCATGGCTGGGTCATTGCCTCATTTCCTATGTTTTGCTTAAAAAGTGTTCAGTATCTGTAACCTCATAACTTCTCATCTTCCCCAGGTTGTACATCAGAGACTCCTCATGCCTTAACTGTCAGCCCTTTTAAAGCATTCTCTCCTCAGCCGCCAAAGTTTTTCAAGCCCCTGATGCCTGTAAAAGAGGAGCATAAGAAAAGGATAGCCCTTGAAGCACGGCCTCTTCTAAGCCAGGAGGTAAATGCTTGACTTGTCTGTACTATGCAGAATAGAGCAGAGTTGTGTCGCCTGTGAAGCAGCAGTGTGCCTTAACAAGCTGAGTGCTGCACGTAGACATGCATGGTCATCACTCCATGGATCCCGTTCTGGAATTCCTCTTTCTCAAGCATGCAGAGTCATGGTAGAATCTCTTGTTTGTTATTGCTGCTATGTTTTTATTTCTTTATGTTTATGGCTTTTCAAAGTATTTTTTTATGTTTCAAGTGAGAAAGATGTTTTCTAGGTGTTTTGAAAAGATTAAAGGCCTTTTTTAAAAGTATTTTTCTTTTTTGTCTTTTTGGGATTTCTAATTTTGTTTTTTATAGAGATAGGGTCTTGCTATGTTGCCCAGGCTGGTCTTAAACTCCTGGCCTCAAGTGATCCTTTTGCCCCAGTCTCCCAAGGCACTGGGATTACAGGCGTGAGCCATTGTACCTGGTCAAAAGGCGTTTTTTTTAAATAAGACTAATTATGCTTTTTGCCACAGAATCTGTTTATTCCTGTCATATTTCTCCAGTAGTTTAACTCTGGCCTGCAGAATTGGCTGCTGCATTACTCACATGTAATAAGAGTGTTAGCACTGCTTTTCTAACTTGCATGTACTTAATATGTATTTTGGCCGTTGTCGTCTTTGTGTGTGATGCATCTGTGTGTCTTAACCTTTGCAGAGCATGCCTCCACCTCAGGCACATAACCCTGGCTGCATTGTACCCTCAGGAAGCAATGGCAGCAGCATGCCAGTAGAACACAATAGCAAACGTGAGAAGAAGATTGTAAGTTCCAGAACCATTTCTGTCATATTGCCTGGTGGTGGGTTTAAGGCCCTTTCACAGACAATCATCCAAGTGCTAGAAAAAATTAAGTCTTTGTCTTAAAGAAAATAAAAGGTCTTTGTCTTAAAGAAAATAAAAAGGTCTTTGTCTTAAAGAAAATAAAAATGTGACCACTGGTAATGATATTTTGCATGGATGTGGCCATGACCTACAGTTTTATTTTATTTATTTATTTTTTGCTTAAGTTTGTTTAGAAAAAGGGAGAAAGGCACTTTTATTGCTTCTGCTGTTTATAAAAAGTGTAACAAAGAGATCTCTTTAACTAATACCGAAATCTTTCTAATGTGCCTATACATATTGCCCAGATTCTGAAGTTAATCTACCTAGAGGAATTGCACTTACTGGGAGTAAGTAATCATGCATTTAGCTGTGGATATGTTTGGAGGCTTTTTTATGTTGCCTGATGCTATTGCCAAGATAATTCTGTAGTTAGAGCTGCACTAAAGTCTATCATAATCACCCTTCATCATCTCACTGTCTAGGGTAGCCTTTGTTAATTAGCTGGCAAAATATATTCCAATACCTTGGTGCCAGCCTTGCATTCAGGATGGCTTATGTATATTTTGCCACAAGTAGGTTGAAACTCTACCTGCAAAACCTCATTCCTTAGCACTTGGTTTTAAAATTATAAATTTGAGATATAGTTTTAAAAACACTGCATACCTGGCACCTTAGGTTATAAATTATACCTCAATTTACAAAAAAAAAATAAAATAAAAAAATAAACCTGTTTATTCTCAAGCCTGGAAAGAATTCTCTCATTTTTTTTGTCTCAGCTTTCACCCTCCTGTGGCTTCCTAGGCTTTGAAAAAGTAAAACCACCTCAGGGAGACAGGAGACTGCTTGATTTTTCTGTCACATCTGATCATCTCTATTGGGAAGAGTGTAGAGAGTCTCATTTCCCAGTGACACCCTGTCACACCCATTCCCAAGACTCATTAATGTGAGATCCTTTAACAGTTCCTAACGCACACTGTGTGAGAACTAACTCACTGCAGCTGAATCCGGATGTGCAGTTGGCCACCCACCTGCATGCTTGGGGTGTGGGTGGATCTTCAGAAACAACCTTCTCATTCCTAACGTGAAGAAAGAAGAAAAGCACCATTTTCCCTCCATTTCTTCATCTCTCTTCCCCTCCTCTGCCTTTGGTTTCTCCCTGTCCCTCTATCCCAATGCCCCGTCCTAGTTCTTCATGGAGAAGAGTCTGCACATTAATAGCTGCTCCTTCATCTCTCCAAATCTTACTGAGCTGTTCCCTCACTTACCTGACCACCCCCTGCTCAATTAATAAGGGCTGCATTGTGGGCTAAAAAGGCCAAATGACTAGTTTGTTCCCCTGCCAATTCTGTGGCTCTGTGTCTGATTGGATCTGGTTATTGGCATGCCACTTACCCCTGTGGTGCACAGCCACTCCATTTAAACCTATTGCAACAATACATTTTGGTACAACACCATCAAGAGACTGCTGGATGACCCTTCTGGACTGTTCAGCAGATAGTTTCACAGTTCACAGAGCTAGTTCATGTTTTCTTCAATTTCCCTTTGATATTTTAAAATAAAGCCCATCTCGGGGCTTTCAGCTAGCAGAGGGAAGGATGAAACCAGATTCCCTTGACCCAGGAAGTCTCGAGCAGCAGTTAGACTCTATGACTGAATGCACCGTGGAGTACAGTAAGGAGGATTTGATGGTGTTATTTTTCTTGCTGGAGTCTTACTTGAAAAAGCTGTCTCGACTCTCCATAGGAAACTGGCTTGCTGAGCACCCTGCACCCAAGAGGCATTTGGGCTCTTTAACTCATTCCAGATAGCAGTTTTTCAGGGTGTTTTGGTAGAGTTTAAGTGCATTGTTCGTTTGACCTGAGGTTCTTGTTTCTCCTTGGGAAACGTTAATTTTATTTTTTCTCTTATAAATGGGTATAAACTGTTTTCTTCCTTTGTGACTAATTCACGTTCTTTTCTCTTCCACTCTTTCACAGTCAGAGTGACTCAGTTCACACTGATGAAGAGAGTTTGAAATCATTCTTGAGAAGGACAGTATCAAGACATTGTTCCTGTTATTGTTTAACCCACCTAATTACCATAGTAACTTAGATGTACTTCATGTCTCGTATGACTAAGACAGAAGCAACAATATGCTTTTGGAGTCTTTTTAAGTCATAAAGCATAGAGAATAGCAGAAAGTCAGTGATTTTTTTCCCAGTATCCACACGACCCTTCTATTAGGTCTTGCATAGATAGCATGTGGTTTATTCCTCTCGTTTACAGAAGAAGAAACAAAGGGTTATAATTGTTCAGCAACTTCCTTAAGGTCTCTCAGTTTATGAGAGCATAAGACCAAAGAGCCCCATTCCTCAGCATAATTGAGGGGACTCCAGTGACTCCAGGTGCTTCCAAAAATAGTGCAGTTCCAGTATGCCCTGCAGTTGCTCTTCAAAGCGCTCACTCCTCAGTACCATGGACAGAAGTACTGGAGCCCTTGGCTGGTACAGGTCTGCAAGAGACCTCTGGTGAACAGCACGACATGATTATAATAGGAGTGGAAATTGCATTAATCAAGGAAACTCCTTACAAAGAGTCGCTGCTTTAATGTGGATTTCAATCCCTTTTTAAAATCAAGATGTTTTCTCTATAGGTAAATATCAACTGCATAAGTTAAATTGCAAAACTCAAATGAAGACTGTAGATATAGAGAAGCTTGAGAACTTGACTCCATGTACCACTTTAGATAGGCTTTTAATTATCTTTGTCCTTAAGACATTGTAGGAAGGTGCTTAGTTTATTCTTAAGATATAATGAGAAATGATGTTTCTGGTATAAAAAGTCTAAACCAAACTCCCTCAAAATACAAGTTCAAGCCAATTAAATCCTCCCTTAATTGGCAATAACTCTTTCAATCTCCTTTTAAGTATTGGAAAATGTTTAATCTCTACTAAGTTTTCCTTTTTCTGGAAGAAGCTGTCCCTACTGTTTTAGTCTTTCCCTCTGGGCTTTATGGGTTATTTTCCCCACTGTGAACTGCTCCCTATTTGAACTTCATCTCTTGGGGCTTTGTAGATTCTTAGTTTTATTAATGTCATTCTAATCCTTTAGGAATAATTTATTATCTTTGATAAATTTACAACTATTTCCACTCAATAAATTCATGATTACATATTTCATTCAGCAAAATTGTATTTTAGGATAACAGGCCTTTCCTTGGTCTCAAGAAGAAATAACTTCAAGCGTATAAAGGACTCCAGATTACTAATTCTCATTTTTAAATTTGATTTTCCTTGCAGTAAATAACTTTTTAGTAATTAATTATAGTAAATAGTAATTTAGTAATTAATTGCATCAGGTATGCTTGGACTTGGAGAATTGTGTTTCTTTGCCAGCTTAAATCAAAAGGAAATAGAAGAGATACAAACACTTGAAATTTAATTTTGTGCCAGGTGCAGTGGCTCACACCTGTAATCCCAGCACTTTGGAAGGCCAAGGCAGGCAGATCGCCTGAGGTCAGGAGTTCGAGACCAGCCTGGCCAACATGGTGAAATTCGTCTCTACTAAAAATACAGACTTAGCCAGGCGTGGTGGCAGACACCTGTAATCCCAGCTACTCGGGAGGCTGAGGCAGGAGAATCTAGAAAATATAGGCAAAGGCTACTGGTTCACACAATTCTGTTTAATCTTTGTTCCTTCACCAACATTCTCCCCAACCCTAGGAAAGAATGTTCCACCCCACTTTTTTGATAATGCTACTTAATTTAGAATGCAGATAAAGATAAGATGGGAAGAGATTAGTGTTGCCAAAAATTTTGTTTTGCCAGTTTCAAGAACTTTATCACTGATATTTGATATTCATCTTTGATTAACAGCTAAGGAATTAAGATCGCCAATTCCTTTACACATTTATTTTCAGTCACATTTTTACAACTAAGTTATAAAAACTAAACTATTTTAAAAGCTGAGAAGCATTTAAAAGAGTATTAAACTTTTTTTGAGGTATGTAGAATCTTGAGATGCAAAAGAAAATATTACTACTAATCTAAACAGATGAAATTTATGTTCATTTGTGAACACATATATGCCACGCCTTGAAGATATCGCCCTCCCCCCACACACCTTGATTAAAATGCAAATTTATGGGCCAGATACAGTGGCTCACACTTGTAATCCCAGCTACTCGGGAGGCAGAGATTGGAGGACTGCTTGAGCCCAGGAGTTTGAGGCTGCAGTGAGCTACAGTTGTATCACTGCACACTAACCTGAGTGACAGAGCGGGACCCCTGTCTGTAAATAAATAAATAAAAATAAATAAATCCTAGCCGGGCACTGTGGCTCACGCCTATAATCCCAGCACTTTGGGAGGCTGAGGCAGGTGGATCACCTGAGGTTGGGAGTTCGAGACCAGCCTGACCAACATGGAGAAACCTCATCTCTACTAAAAATACAAAATTAGCCTAGCATGGTGGTGCATGCCTGTAATCACAGCTATTCAGGAGGCTGAGGCAGGAGAATCACTTGAACCTGGGAGGTGGAGGTTGCGGTGAGCCGAGATCACGCCATTGCACTCCAGCCTGGGCAACAAGAGTGAAACTCCGTCTCTAAATAAATAAATAAATAAATAAGTAAATCTTAAAAATAAAATAGGTACATTAACAAAATGCAAATGTAATGGGTAAGGTTGATGTTTTGGTTCCAGGTCTTTACCTGCACCTAGTAGTTATAATTGTACAGATGCTTTAAACTGGATGACCAATGAAAGAAAGCTAACTGTTTTTGAGGTGTCTAAGTTTACCTGTGAATGAACTTTTTATCCATCCATGCAGAGTCCAGGATTGTTCTAAGAGCAAGGACGCAAAGTTGTAATTCTCTGAGCTATGCCTTCTTTTGCTCACCATTGCTATTCCCAAGTCTTTAGGACAATGGCTGCCATGTAGTGGATGTTCAGTGTGTATTTGTTGAATGAAAGACACATTTCAAAAGCAATATTTGTGATTTCATTAGGTGCTTCGGAGATTAATTAGAAATGGCTAGAGAGTTTATCAGTTACTTTATTTGGACTTAAAATGCCCACATTTTTTCTGCCAAATATAAAAGAGTCATTCATTTGAAGAGAGACTGGGGAATTGGTGACACCCACTTTTGCATGTATTTACCAATTTTTATGAACAGGGTTTGAAAACTGTTTTACAAAGGAGATTTTCATTTAAACTTTACTATGCCTTTTTCACCTTCTAGCCAAACCCTCTACTCATACTTCTCAAAGATCCTAGAAGACGGTAGTTGTCAGATTGTTAGTATTTTATAGCCTTACAATATTTAGCATAATATAAGAATGACTGTTGAAATTGTGTTTTTTGCCCTTTTGCAGTTGGATTCTTTGTTTTACTCCCTTTTCCCCCGTAAAATAGCTGAGAAACTTTTTACAAATTACCTTAACTACCTGCACTTTGCTTCCCAAGGTGAAGATTCTAAAGACAAATGGAGTGGCTCTTCTCTGCTTCTGCCTGTTTCTCTGCTCATTTAATGAGAAAGAGAAAACATCACAACTAAAAACTAATTTTGAATAACTAATAAAATGTCCACTGCATTTCAGTTCCATTTTTTCTCTTAAACCAGGGAAGGAATGATTTCTAACTAGCACTGAGTGAGCCTTTAAGAACTAAATCCCATTCATATTAGATGGTAAGGGGGTTATACTCACAGGTCTCTGAGAATACTGATATACCTATGTCTGCAATAGGTGACAAGATCTGGCCAAATTTGGAAAGACAAAAAGAAAACAGTGAACACCGTGTGAATGTGAATGCCTTTAACAACCAAGTATTTAAAACTTACCTCAACAGTACAGTTGCTACAAGGAGCTAATGACTGACTTTTGCTTCACTTCTATAGGACTCTGAGGAGGAAGAAAATGAGCTGGAAGCTATTAATAGGAAGCTAATAAGTTCACAGCCTTATGTACCTGTGGAGTTTGCTGACTTCAGTGTTTACAATGCCAGCTTGGAGAACAGGGAATGGTTTTCCTCTAAAGTAGATCTGTCAAACTCACGGGTCTTGGAGAAAGAAGTGTCCCGTAGCCCTACCACCAGCAGTATTACCAGTGGCTACTTTTCCCACAGTGCCTCCAATGCCACCCTGTCTGACATGGTGGTCCCTTCTAGTGACAGCTCAGACCAGCTGGCCATTCAGACAAAGGATGCAGACTCCACCGAGCACTCCACACCATCGCTTGTGCATGATTTCAGGCCATCCTCAAACAAAGAGTTGACAGAAGTCGAAAAAGGCTTGGTAAAGGACAAGATAATTATGGTGCCACTCAAGGAAAACAGTGCCTTAGTCAAAGGGAGCCCATCATCCCAGAGCATCCCTGAGAAAAACTCCAAATCACTGTGCAGGGCTGGCTCATGTTCAGAACTAGATGGCTCAGTTCAGAACTGCCCCAGCAAAATTAGCCAGCCAGCCAGGGGATTCTGCCCCAGGGAGGTGACGGTAGAACACACCACCAGCATCCTTGAAGACCATTCTTTCACAGAATTTATGGGAGTGTCAGAGGGAAAAGATTTTGATGGTTTGACAGATTCTTCTGCTGGAGAGCTTTCCAGTAGGAGGAACCTACCAAATAAAACAGGCAGCAAGACTGTCTCCGATGGGCTCCACCACCCCAGCCAGCTGCATTCCAAGTTAGAGAATGACCAGGTAATAATTTCAGAGGCAGCCCTTTGGGTTATGTGCTGTCGATGAGTATGTCTAACTGTATGCCAACCCCAGAGGCCCTTCACCACAGCAACTTGGTAGGAAATATTCATCCAGATGTTTCTGACAGCAAAGATGAGCCCACAAAGAAGCAGGCTCACTTCCTGCACAGCTGTCTCTGTCGGAGAGCAAGTCTGTTTTGGGAACTAGAATGCAACTGTGAAATTATAGGACCAGTGGATTTTCTTTACCTGGTATATGGGTTGGTATTGAATTAAGTGTTAAGATGGATAAGGATCAATCTCATATTCGTTCCCTGAGATGTTTAGTTACCAGCTTTCCCAAAGTATTCTGGTAGCATCTACCATATTTCATCAGATCTGTGATTCCTTTGATTGTTATATGATCCATTATTTTTTGTATCATTAAGAAAAAATACTGCCAGGTAAACTTTATCATATCAACAGTTGTAAGACATCCCAATTTCAGAGATGGTAAAATATGGAAAGAAAAACATATATATCGTAGAATTGGAAAAAGACAGTCGTTTGGTGCCCATAGGTGAAAAGTGCTTTGGGGTGGTATAGACAAATTCCACCAGCAGTTGAAGTTTGGACTTTGGAAGTAACTCAGGTTAGTTTACAATATTGGTTAATTTTCTCTTTTTTTTTTGAGATGGAGTATCGCTCTCACTCTGTCACCCAGGCTGCAGTGCAGTGACACGATCTTGGCTCCTTGCAACCTCCACCTCCCTGGCTCAAGTAATCCTCCTGCCTCAGCCTCCTTAGCTGGGACTACAGGCACATGCCAGCACACCTGGCTAATTTTTTTGTATTTTCACCATGTTGGCCAGGCTGGTCTCAAACTTCTGACGTCAGGTGATCCATCTGCCTTGGCCTCCCAAAGTGCTGGGATTACAGGCGTGAGCCACTGTGCCTGATGAATATTGGTTAATTTTCATATGAGAACAAAATGAGCTTTTGCCACTATTCCTAAGGAAAATCAAAAATTACATAAATAAGAGATATTCTGCTTCTGAGTATTCTGCTCTGAAGTGCCACCATTGATTCGCCTTCACATTCATTTGTTTGGTCCCTCAACTGTAAAAGGTATGGGAGAGTCATGGTTTAGCAAAATAAAGAACTGACAGAGCTAGAAAGAGGCTTGGTAAAAGTAAGATAATCATGGTGCTACTCTATCCCTTTGTTTTGCTGAGCAAGTTATTCCATTGATGTGGCTTTTTGTCCCAACGCTTTTGCCCCTGCTTTCCATACCAGCCCTTAAAATTTCAGTGTATGGTCATTTATACAGCATACTCATTACTGAACTGCCAAAACCTAAACAGTCATCTCTGACAAGAAGAAAAAGACTTCCTTTCCTGACATAAGAATAATAATGGTCACTCACCACTGTTCTTGCAAGCAATACATGCATTTGTTTAGGTCTTCAACTTTCTTTACCTGGACTAAAGCAGAAGCTGCACGGCCGGTATACATCAGCTTGTCAACCCTTGTTTGTCAAGAAGGCCAGTGTCAAAGACTCTTTAATTCTCTAGTGTAAGATTAGGTTTGCTTCGGCCGGGCACAGTGGCTCACGCCTGTAATCCCAGCACTTTGAGAGGCCAAGACGGGCGAATCATGAGGTCAGGAGATCGAGACCATCCTGGCTAACACGACGAAACCCCATCTCTACTACAAATACAAAAAATTAGCCAGGCGTGGTGGCGGGCATCTGTAGTCCCAGCTACTCAGGAGGCTGAAGCAGGAGAATGGTGTGAACCCAGGAGGTGGAGCTTGCAGTGAGCCGAGATCACACCACTGCACTCCAGCCTGGGCGAGAGTGCAAGACTCCATCTCAAAAAAAAAAAAAGATTAGGTTTGCTTCTCAAACCTAAAGGTGCTACAAACTCTAGGGGCAAGGAGGGTGTGGCAGGCCTCTTAAAAATTCATATTCATGGCCGGGCATGGTGGCTTATGCCTGTAATCCCAGCATTTTGGAAGGATGAGGCGGATGGATTGCCAGAGGTCAGGAGTTTGAGACCAGCCTGGCTAAATGGCGAAACCCCATCTCTACTAAAAATACAAAAATTAGCCAGGCATGGTGGCACACGCTTGTAGTCCCAGCTACTCGGGAGGCTGAGGCAGGAGAATCACTTGAACCCGGGAGGCGGAGGTTGCAGTGAGCCAAGATCGCACCACTGCACTCTAGCCTGGACAATAGAGCAAGACTCCGTCTCAAAAAAAAAAAATTCAAATTCACCTGGGCTTGGTGACTTGCACCTGTAGTTCCAGCTATTCTGGAGGCTGAGGCGGGAAGATCACTGGAGCCCAAGAGCTCAAGACCAGTCTGGACAACAGAGCGAGATCCTATCTCTGTTTAAATAATTTTTAAAATTAAAATTAAAAAAAAAAATTTGAATTCCCAGGAGTCACTGCCCTCCAGCCCTAAGATTTTGCTTTATACAGTGTGCAATAGGGGAAATAAGGTATTCACAAAACCTTCCTTCCTCCCCATCCCCTTGTACCCCCATAGAGTAATAGGAGACGGGGTATCTGAGGGCCATACTGTGGGAAGCACTGCCCATGGAAGAGGGAGGAGGAGCAACAACCCCCTTTTTGTTTTCATTGCCTAGATTATTTAGAACCCAACAGGAGAAGATAAGGATTGGAAAGTTTCCAGAATAATGCATTCCTCCCAGAGATCATGGTTTAAAGTGAAGTTTACAAATGTTATATCAAGATGATGGGATTATAGAGATTTTTCTCCTTTAAAGAGTTTTTAGCCGAGCGCAGTGGCTCACGCCTGTAATCCCAGCACTTTTGGAGGCTGAGGTGGGTGGATCACCTGAGGTCGCAAGTTTGAGACCAGCCTGACCAACATGGAGAAACTCTGTCTCTACTGAAAACACAAAATTAGCCGGAAGTGGTAGCACATGCCTATAATCCCAGCTACTCAGAAGGCTGAGGCAGGAGAATCTCTCGAACCTGGGAGGCGGAAGTTGCAGTGAGCTGAGATCGCGCCATTGCACTCTAGCCTGGGCAACAAGAGCAAAACTCTATCTCAAAAAAAAAAAAAAAAATTTTTTTGGAGCCGGGCTCAGTGGCCTGTAGTCCTAACACGTTGGGAGTCCACGACAGGAGAATTGCATGAGCCCAGGAGTTTGACACCATCCTGGGCAACATAGCAAGACCCTGTCTCTACAAAAATTTAAGATTTTTTGATTTATAATGTTTTTACTATATTGGTTTTAATAAGTTGTTTTGACAGTTTAAAATTTTTTCTGAGAGGCCGGGTGTGGTGGCTCACGCCTGTAATCCCAGTACTTTGGGAGGCTGAGGCAGGAGAATGGCGTCAACCCGGGAGGTGGAGCTTGCGGTGAGCTGAGATCGCACCACTGCACTCCAGCGTGGGTGACAGAGCGAGATGCCGTCTCAAAAAAAGAAAAAAAAATTTCTGAGAACCATAGTTTGACTTTTGTTCAAACCCCTGATATGACTTAGACTGCACATCCAGAAGTTACTATTTTTTTTTTTTTTTAACTTTTACTTTGGGTGTTACTGTCATTACTTTTCCTAGAAATATCACCTCGGGGCTTCTACAGTGTGAATTCCAGCACTGGATTCCATAATAAAACCAATCCTGTGGGTCCCTTTAGGAAGAGCCCCTTGTGGTGGTTGTGGACTGGGCTGAGAGTGGGTGCTGTGGGTGAGGTGGGTGGATGGGGATGAGAAGCATCAACTCACCAGCCTCTGCATTCCAGGGAGGCACGACCTCACGGTGAGAGCCGCAAGCACCCCTTCCTCAGGCCACAGCTTGGCGTCTTTGTTCACCTGGTTACCTTGGGCAAGAACCAGCCCCATCTTTAAAACGCGCTGCCGCCTGGCTGGACCTCAGACCAGAAGCTGGAGAATCTACGCCGTGCACTTCCTGGGCCACCTCCTTTCCCCTCCCCAGCGGGAGAAGCGGCACTTTGTCACTTGGGTGAATCAACAGCCTCTGCTTTTTCCAGAAAGCAAGAGAACTGAAAATCCCGGATTAACTAAGTGACAGTATTTTTGTTTGCACTTACTACACACCTCCACTGTATAGAAACCTCTGCAGATTCCAAGAGACTTTATTCTTGTACAATTTTAATCAGTTCTTACTGTAGAATCTGGAGTCAATGCTCTAATCTGTTTTTTATAAATAATATATATTATGTATATGAAATGTGTATCTATAGTATGTCTGGAGACAGACAAGGCTGCACACTAAAATGCAGATAAAGGTGATTTGTAGAAAATCATAAGGTACTGGACTTTGTTACAAAGCAACTTGGGCGATCTCTTATAACATGAGCAGATGAAAAATATTTTATTGCCTAAGAATGAGCTTGCAAATCCCTCTTTGCAGAAAAGGTTATAGAATGCTGTTCTTTATAACCAAAGAACTTACATAAGACAACATTTTTGCTGTCCACTCTTTTGTATGAACATGTATGTTTGACTGCAAGTTTGGTGCCATAATTCCCTTGGCTACCAAGCCACGTGCTGCCGTTCTCTGTCCTTTGTTTCATAAGCACACTGAGAAATCTCACAGCTATATTCTTTGGTCTTCCACCTGCCCCACCACCTGCTGACTTGACATTGTATTATAACTGTTGACAGTGACTGGGGCTCTGACTCCATAGTTGCCTGGACCGTGGCTCAGCCCAGCTGGGCAGGTGGAATGAAAAGAGCAGTATTACTGTAAGAAAACACAAGGACAGCCAGGAGTTGTGGTGGGGTGGGTGGGGTGGGAGGTATTGATTTTTGTGTGTTTTTGTGTGTGTGGTTTTGTTTTGGATTGGTAGGTTTCACTGTGGTGTGGTTTTGCTGTTGTTATTTTGCTTGATTCTGGAAAATGCTGAGGAGACAGACTGAGCTATGAAGTGCAACGGTTCACACTTTACCATGTTTGCAGGAGATGGTCGAATACAGATGACCCTGCTGTCATGTCTTCATTTGTAAAATTCTCCTACGAATGGAGACATTGAAGGATTATGTGTATGGAAATTTTTACAAAAGTCCTTTCTGTACCTACTCTGTAGATGCCTGTATAATCGGTCTGGATGTACAGCTATAAATGTGTTGTGAGAGCAAGAGAGAGAGAATGCGTACACAGCCTGCTGTACCTTTTTTCTTTTAAGTTCTTCGAGTTGGTAAATGAGTAAGATATTGGAAACCTTAATGAAAAGCTGCTGTTCATGATTTGTGTGTATAGTGAGCTGACTGTAGTATTTTACTATTGTCTGTTAAAAAAAGAAAAACTGTAATTTATATCCCCTTTCAACTTTATTGTGTGTAATTGGTACAGATTTCTGTGTGTGTGTGTGTGTGTGTTTTAGAATACAAACCGTGTAATTCAGATTTTAAAACATCAATTGTTTGTCTTTAATAACCCTGCCTTTAGTTTCAAATCTAACTTACCATATTTCTATGTGTGCAT